GGTTAAAGACCATGGATACTACCACCCAGTGGGTGGTGGCTCTACTGTTGGTTGGGTAATGAAACGGTGGTGGCTGGGATTCCTTTTTCCTTTTTTGCCTGCTCTCGCTTGCTGTGCGCCTAATTAAAACTCATTACCATAAGCATAAAACTTGAGCAAGCAAATTTCCATCATCCAAACTGTTTGAAAAAAAAAATGGGAAGCAGAACAAAGCAGTGCAGAGCGTGCAAGAAGAAGAAGAAGCCACACTGAGAAAAAAAATGTAGATTTATTTGAAATGAATTTATTCAATTCATACGGCATAGAATACAAGTAAAAGGTATTAAAGGTTGGATTGGTTATAATTTCTTCTGATAAATTGAAATAAATTGGAAAAAATAGTTTTGTAACTGAATGTGTTTTTCTTTAAACCAATCAACAGGTCCTTTTACAATTAACAATCCTTTTACAATTAATACAATATGTTTATGAATGATTAAACCTATACATTTCTATACGTAATATGTACCTAAATAAACATTTTTTAAACCTTTTCGAAAGGTATAAAATAAATGTTTTATTCATTTTGATTTTTGTACCAATCACTATGATTTTTTTTCCTGTGCCGACGAAATAATTCGCAGACAGGAAATTTAAGTCGCAGCCGAAAGGACAGAAGAGCGAGAAAAGTCAACTGGACAGCAGCTCACAGGTTGTTTAACCTTTTCTTTGCCTAATGCAATTTCCTTGCCAGACGGCGACAATTTGTTGTTGCTTCGTTTTATTTCCTTTTTCCGACTTTATTTGTTGTTTGGGGTGACTTTTGCGAACTATAGTATATAGTATGTCCCCCGTCTCACTCTTTCAACCCCGCAGCATAGTGGAAAGTGAAAGCTACATGCGTGCAACGACCTTTCCACAGGCTTTCCTCTCTTCTGCCTCGCTTTGTCTCTCTCTCACTGTCTCTCTCTCTCTGTTGCTCTTCTTTACCGCCGTCTGGCTATTCATTCTCCCTTTTTCCACATTTCCTTTTTTTGTGCTGAAAAGTTTTCGTGCACGTGTGCAACAGTTTCGAAATCGTCCTGCTGCGAAATTCTGGGCGCCTGGTCGAGTTGCCGGCTCGCATTTGTGTGCCTCGCAAAAAGGACGAAGCGATGAGTGAGAATCCTGCCGCTCCCGCCGCTCTTGCGCTCTCCGCTTTGTGTAGTGGCCATTGAAACTCGACTCAAAAGTTAAGTTTTCCCTGCATTTTCCTGCCATTGATAATGTTGTATTGCCCCCACACAGATAGAAAAAGGGGTGAAAAGTGGTGGGTGGTGTGATGATGATGGGGCTCGGTTTTAGTTTTTGGCGTCTGCCTTTGTCTCTAGTTGTTGTTGTTGTTGTTGTTCTTGGCTCTTTCATTCTGCCGGTTTTGGCTTTTCACTCGCCCAACTGTTTCAAATGTGTTTTTGTTTGCGCTTTTCATCTCCAAGTGGAGCACAAAGAGTGGTTAGACTGAGAGAGAGCTATAAATAAAAGAGCAAGAGGGAGTGCACACAGGATGCGGCGGGCGGTGGGAGGTGGGAAAATTTTTGAATGCACAAGTGTACGAGCCTAGGAAATGGAACTGGCACATTTCCGACAGGAATGCTGCAGCGGAAAATGCACATGCAGTTAAATAATATTGATCAGATAAAATATGTAGTACATCTTTTAAATGATGTGCACATTAAATGGTTAAAGTATTAAGGTAGAAGTTGAACTTTGCACAAAAATAATACTTTAATTTACAAGTTAAATACATTTATAGGGATATTTAAATTATTATTTAAATATATATATATAACATTTAAAATACAGTTTGTTTTTATCAAAGGATCCTGATAACAAAAAATGTGAAAAATAATTATATGTGCTTACTCAAGTGAAAAGCTTTGGTTTGCCTTTCCCTCAGAAATTTCCAAACTGCTTACCAAATCTAGCCACAAAATCTACCCTTCGCACCCATGGTAACCGACAGTTTCGGCTTCTTTGTTTTTGACCTAGCAGGGTGCAGTTTTGGTTTCGGTGTCAAGCATCCTGTTGAACATCCCGGTTAGGGGCAAGTTTTCGCACTCTTAAAGTGTCCTTTTGCAGCACCAAAAAGAGATGAGCTTAAAGTTAACCTTGGAGAGATGAGACGTCTGCCTGCTGGAAGTTCCTGAGCTCCCATTCTCCACTCACCCCGAACTTATCGCTGCTGGATATTGTGGATATTGCCTGCGATACGCTCGCTAAACTTTCGCACCCTTTTAAGCGACGCCCTCGGGGGTTGACTCGACTCGTCTGTCTGGGGCAATTCCTGCGTTTGTTGATCGTTACAGTAAATCATTTGAAATGAAATTTCACTTCCACGCGGTGGGTCGTCTGCACAGAAAAAAATTACCTGCTGTTCAACACTAATTCTTAAAAATAAAATAAATAAAAAGAAGTGATAGGTTTTTGATGAGTGTTTATATAGGAAGGAATGTGATTCTAACTCAACCTTGTAAGTACTCTTTTATGACGTAATTTTTATGGTTAGAATAAATTCTCAACTAATATATTGAGTCTATATAAAATACTGTATTTACGTATTGGAATAGTTTTAATAATTTTTTTTGTAATTTAAAGTACATATAGTTTTCCGCATTTTCTGCGTGCTCGGAGTTTTTCCTGGCCCGTTGCCACCCTCCTGGTAACTAAGTGGATTGCGCGTGGAAATGGAAAACATGTGACCAGCTCTCCCAGGGGGAGGGAATGGTGTTTGTTGCTCTACCTCCCAATATTCTGGGTGGTTTTTCGGTTACTTGTTATTTTTTTTTTTTTTTGTTTGTTGGTTGGTTGGTCGTTGTCTCCTTGCTTTTTGGCAAGCAAAGCCAAAGTTTTCTATTAGACAACGGGGTGATTTTCACAGCGTCAGCTAGAATAAAAAGGGAAAATGCCATATCGGTAAGTTGAGGTCATTTATTATGCTCATGACACCTTCCATCCTTCGCCGTTCCGGCTTCCTTTTTGGGTGATTTGCCCCCCGTTCGTTCGAACTTGCCGCCTGGCAACATTTGTTATCTGGGATCCCCCGCTGCTGCTGCTTTTCCCATTTTCCACTTCCCATTGTTGTCTGCCGGCGAAATTATGCAGCAATTCATAAAAATGGCAGGCCGAAGAAAACCATTGGCGTTACTTTAATGCCGATATGTTATTGTAACATAGATTTTAGCTACGGTTTATCGATTAGATCAAGGGACCTTCAAAGGGGGGTGACCAAATTCATAGGGGTTCGGGTGTGGTTTAGTTTATGGCTGTCATTTTGCGTGGCATTTTAATGGATTTCAAAAGCAGGGAATAGAAAATCCGAGAAGGTGTAGTAAATATGGTTTAAGGAGCTCTAGAGAAGAATAAAATGAAGTTAATGGTGTGATAAATGTTTGATTGAAAAGAGCAATGAGCCATAAATTGTAATTAATTCTTTCTTGTTCTAAAAACAGAATAAATCCTTTTGATTTCAATGAACTTTATAAATTTATTGTTATTTTCACTTATCCTTGCAGTGTGACTATGTTTTCTCCATCAAATCCTGAGCCGTTTTATCTGCCGCAATTTCAATTAACTCAAATGGTCTAACACCGAGAAATCCCCGCAAAACATTTGCCATGCCGGTCACATAGGACCAGAACGACCCCCGCGACAGACAATTAAAAGGGGAAACCACAGACTGCGAGCCAATTTAGATAAGCCCCAGGATATGGGGAACCCCAGCAGACCGAAGGACTCGAAAGGGTCGCTCTATACGTCTCCAGCTCTGGTGGTGCCACACTCAATTCATATCTTGTGCAACATAACAATTAGTAGAGACCATAAAAACGGAGCAGTCGAGCACAGACAATAAAAGTTGGGAAAGTTGGGGAAATAATGGGGCGATGGAGCCGAGCGAATGGGAGTAAACACTGTTTACATTCGGCTGTCGAAAAATGTGCACTAAAGTATCTAAATTTATAAAAGAAATAAACAAACGATGCAGCACTCCATATATTGTGGAAGGAATGTTATGTGTGCACAGCAGATGATGCATTTGACTGGGCAGCGGGAATTTATGAGCGCACAAAAAAACGAAATGGAATATAAATACGGAATACGAAATCCGATTTAGATTTGGACTGGGAACTGAACAAAAAAAAGACTTCCACCTTGTTTGCTTTCAATTAGTGTTGAACTTTTGTTCCACCGATCTGCCATCTCCCCTCTCACTGCCCGAAAATTATCTAAATAAACAAGAAGCTATAAAAAACATCGCGTAAAGTTGGGGGAAAATAGGTAGGCAGTCTTCTCCCCCAAATGAACTCATCGTTGCAGGCAACTAATGCATATTTTCCTCTAATTTTCTCTAAAAAAAATGTGTTAAATGTTTGCGTAAATAAAACAGCCAGCGACTGGGAATTCTCTGTAGGCTTCATCTATAACCACACCCGTGTCCGACTTCTTCTTTTTCTATTTTGCCTTTTGGGCCTAGACTGAGTTTGGTTTCAGGTTCTGCCTCGGGTTATTGGACGGTAGCTACGCTTCGTTTGTTTTTTCCAACGAATCGCTGTTAGCCGGTCAGACTTTGGTTTTCGGTATTTGGTATTTGGTATTTGGTTACCATGTCAAGTGGCAAGTTGCACTCGACTGCAGTGCGAGTTCCCGGAATGTTGATAAACCTTCATTCGTGGCGGGGCAGCGAGGCAGCATTATGCATCTGGAAGTCGCTCTAATGTTTGTGCAAACAAATGGCGTTCAGTGGAATGGCTTACCTTAGAAATGGTTAAACTAGATTTGAGGCAACAGAAGCAGCAGAGATGTGAGAATATGTTCGAAGTGGTGTAATATATTGTTATCTAATTTAAGAATAAATTATGGAGACTTTAACTTATTGAATACATGAACTTACTTGAAAGAAGTAGCTATCATACTTAATTGTAAATTAGCAAATAACTCTTATGAATACAACTCTAATTTATTATTATTTCTTTTTCCTTTTCCAGAACGAGTCCTTCGATACTGCGAATCTCCTTCGGTGGGCACCTGCTGCACCTACAACATGGAGACCCGAATGGCGATGCAGTCCCGCCAGCAACTGGAAGGACACACCAAGGATCAGATCTCTCGGATGTCTGGCATTCTGGGCAGCAAGGCTGCCAAGTTCAAAGGTAGGTCACCGATTGTTACAATTCCACAACAAAAACTATACAACTGAAAACCGCTTGCGTCAACGAGCCACTTGAAAATGCCACAGAAGCCGGCGATTAGAGGGATTTTTCGGGTGTCAAGTGGTTCTGCCCTGATCTATATAGACACACGATCCGTGAGGAGGCGATGATGCGGGCTGCGAGTCACTGACAATGTCAAGTGGCAGGCGACAATGCGGATGTGGCTGCGTTCTATTTAAAAGCGGATGCAGGCCACAAATAAAATCGAACTCCAAACATTTAGTTTGCCGTCGCAAGCGGATGTGCGCTATTTGTCCCCTCCCACCATCTAAGCAATTAAATCTCGTTATATTTCCCACTAATTTGGTTTTCCGCTTGCAGAAATTTTCATCGCCCTGCTGCAAGAGTCGCGAACTCAGTTCAACAAAATGTTCATCCGGACCTACGGAGTCATCTATGAAAGAAATTCCTACGTCTTCTCGGATCTGTTCAAGGAGCTGGAGAACTACTTTGCCAACGGTCGCGTCGATTTGCTGGAGGTCATGGACAAGTTCTTCAATACCCTGTACCAGAAGATGTTCACCGTGCTGAACACCCAGTACACGTTCGATGAAAAGTGAGTAGTCTGCGAAATCGAGACGCGGGTCTCCAAAGCGAGACGCGATTTTCGAGGAGGCTCCACCGCCTCCTCCGGTTCGCAAAAACAAAACGTGTGAAACCGCAAAGTGTCTCGGGCTGTCGACCGACGACAACTAACTGACTAACTGACAAACTGACTGACTGACTGACTTGACGAGACGGAACCGAACCGAACGGAACGGAGACGAAACTTTGACACGGCGGTGTGCGATTTCAGTTAGCGATTCCGATTCCGATACGAATATCCCCCAGGGGGTCTCCTTTCCCAGCTTTTCACAGCTTCCAGAGTTTGAAGTTGCTCTTGTTTTTCCCAGATTTTCGATTGCGGTTGAAACGCTTACAGGTTAGAGAAAACTAGGAAGTTGTGGATAAGTTTTTTAAAGAGGCGGGCAACAGCTGCTAGGGAAATTGTGACATGAAGATTAGAAAAGCTTAGTAAAGACAATGAAAATATAAGAGCTTGAATTTAAATGTATTCATCAGCAAATAATTTTATACCTGACTATAAATAAATGTTTGAAAAATATTATATGATAGAATTCAGTTAAAGAACGTGTATAAAGATTAAATTACAATTTGTATAGTTCAGTTTAGGTACTCCTTTAAAAGCTATCAAAATAGGACTCAAACGGAATCAAAAAGACTAAACCAATTACCAAGATAGTTAACTGCAACTCCGCTTAGACAGATTGTCTCCCACATAGGTGATATTTTTTCCTCGTCCTACAATCATTTTAACTTATGTGGTTTATTCATCCCGTCTCGACCCACCAAGTGTGCTAGCCAGACCAAGACGAAACCCGACCAACCATCGCCTTCCATCCAATCACAAAAAGCCAGCCAAAACCAAAAACCGAAAGCCGAAAACCGCACTTTATGACAGTTCCTATGTCAGCTGCTCGCATTTCCGCCAAAATGGTTAGGAGGGAAATAAGGCGAAAATTGCGCCCACTTGGCTCATTGCCTTGGAACGAGTCTCCGGTAACCGGCGACTTGGCCAAATGACTTTTGCCCCCTGTCCCCTGCCCCCTTGCAACACCACTCCCTTTTGATCCATTTGGAAGGCTCGTGTTACCCACGCGCTTTCCAATTGATGCCGCTGCTGACTTCAACTCCAACTCCGGGTGCCCAACTCGGATTTTAGCTCAGCTTCAGCGATTCGCTTTTATTGTCATCGTTTTAGTTTGTCGTACGTGCTTTGGCACGTTGTCCGTTTATTGCCATTGGACAGCAGAAAGGCCAACAACGATGTCGCGTAATTGCCGCCACTTGCCTGCCGCCTGCCGCCTGCTCCTTTTGCACTGCCCAAAAATGCTAGCCATTAAAAAAGAAAAACAAATCTGAAGAGAAGAATTTATAGGAATTTTCCCCTTCTTTAAAGTTATGCTGCATTAACGAATCAAATGGGTTGAAGCAGTAACATATATTTAAATTAAAATCTACTCTTATAAATAAGCAACAAATTTTATATAAAGTTTACTTTTATATTGAGGATTTTTCTTTCTAAATGGTTTTGAGAACCTAAAATATCTTTCTGTGTGCTCCCCCCTTTTATTTGTTTGTGACTGTTTGCTCTGTGCGGTTGGTCGCTTGAACTGCGAAGGTTCTGCCCTCAGAAGGGATCACATTCCCCTCCTAGAACATGGAGTTCCAGCTGGACCTGGAGTTAAGTGTCTCCTGCCCATTTAATGAGGGGGTAGCTCAAGCAGTTAGTTTGTCAGGCAAACATGGGGGTTCGGCAGAAACAAGGGGGAAATCTATGGGAAATCAACGGGTGTTTGGCTACAGCACTGATATGTGATATGGAGGATTGAGGGGAGTACACGGCTAGGTAGCTTATGATAAGTAAATGGAGTATTCTATGTTTCCAATAAATTAAGTAAATTGTTTCATAGAAGTTAAATAGCAAATCAGAATTTAAGAATAATTCAAAGAACTTTATTATCTGCTTACTTAGTTCTTATGTAAGCTCATAAAGTAAACTAATATTTCAAGGCTACTTCTGGCACTGTAACTCATATGCTTAATTGACCCCCTTGGCTCCCCGAACTCCTCGATCTCCCCTCCCATCGGGGAGCTCCAGCTGCTGCTGCTGCCGCTTGACTGATCTGTCACCTCTGCGAATGCAACTGCCGCAGTTCCTTAATTGTTTGGCCCAAGCGGAGGGGACCGGCGACTTCTTGACCATAATGGCGAAGGCTGTGACAGTGAGGGCCAAAAGCAGCCGTACAAGTGCAATGACTGTCATGCCTGATGGCCGAACCGTAGGACTAGGCACACACTTACTTACTAACAGGGGGACGAAAACATCAACAACATCCACGAAGCTAGCAGCACATGGCGAGCAACTATTTTTATGATTTTTCCGCATAAAAATTTTAGTTGTGCGGCCGTGGCGGTGGAAAAGAATGCGTTAATAATGATGAAGACGGGTACGATGATGAAGTCGAGGGCGGAGGCAATGGCGTTGAGCCGTGCCATTTACAAGCGCAGATTTCCGCCGCCGCCAGCACACCCAATGAAAATATTTGCCCCAACATTCCGTTCTCGTTTTCCACCCATTATACTATATATTTCTTTTTTTGTTTTCCAGCTACATGCGATGCGTCAGCGAGCACATGAAGGAGCTGAAGCCATTTGGGGATGTTCCCGACAAGCTGTCCGTGCAAATCAAGCGATCCTTCGTGGCCACTCGAACCTACGGTCAGGCTCTGACCACCGCCTCCGAGGTGGCCAAGAAGGTCCTCAATGTAAGTTTCCAAAATGTGTTTAAAAGTGTAGTAGAGATCCTTAACATACAGTAGAGATTTTTACCTAAAATGTACTTAAGCCAATGTACTTTAGGTAAACGATATTAGGGTCTGTCTATATCCACAATTAAAATACTTTACAATGAATGTGACAATTAAATATTTAAAGCCCTGTTTATTCTTGTTTCCCCTGTAAATCAATATCAATATCTCATTATTTTTATTCTACAAAAAGATTACCAAATAAAATATATATTAAGGAATTTTTCATTACTAAATTAATTCTCCAAATTCCAGGTCCGACTGAATGCCGATTGCACTGGAGCCCTGACCAAGATGCAGCACTGTGGGGCCTGCAAGGGATACACGGAGAAGCCCTGCACCAACTACTGCGTGAACGTGATCAAGGGATGCCTCCACTACCAGCACGAGTTCGACGGGGAGTGGGAGAACTTCGCCATGGCCATGGACAAGGTGGCTGAGCGACTGCTGGGGTCCTTCAACATTGTGATGGTGGTGGAGCCACTCAACATCAAGATCTCCGACGCCATCATGAACTTCCAGGTGAGATCTTCTTCGGCGGGATAATTGGATGTGCTCGGGGTCATTATCATTATCATTAGCATTTGCATAAGCCAATCGCAATTTGTAACCCGTTTTGGCCAGGCAGCTGCTGGTTAATTTTATTTGCTTTGGCCTGTTGGCAGTGGGACTGTGAGTTATGCTCGCATAAAACTGTCAGTGCGTCTGAGTGGTTTACGCGTGGTTCGTTGGTTAATTCGCATACATTTTAAACGAGTCCCAAAGTAATTCTCGGGGAAAACCGCAAGAGATCGTAGCGATTGATATGTGCGATCTAGCGTTAGAAGTTATTTATGGAGCGAGGAATGCTTCTATTTTTTTTTTTTTGGGTTTATAAAAGAAGAAAGAATGACAAAAGCTTACACTCTTTTTATTATAGATAAAAGCATTTAAATGATTCATGAAAAACAATAAGACTAATAAAATCAGTGATTGCTATTCTCCACTCAGTTGAAAATGATTCATATTCCGCAATCACAAACTAAATTCCTTAATAAATGCCAAAATTCTGCACACAACAAAACTAAAACATCAAATGCATAAATTTCCATTCAAAAATAACACAAATATTATGCACGACATTTGCACAGAGAGCCAAAGAATAATTCACACTCGGATGGCTGTAACTTATTGAATTTTGATTACTGCAATATTTTAACCCTCGCCGTTCGCTTCTATCATCCGATTTATCTTCAGCAGCGCGTTTGTTGTTTTGTTTGCCATTTTTACGATTTATTTGCACAACATTTGGCTCGCATATGAATTTAATTTATATTTCCATTTAAAATTTATACATTTATTTTTTCATCTGCTGGTTCTTCTTGTTCGCTGCCTTTGTTTGTATCTATTTTGCTGCTGTTGTTGTTGTTTGTGTTTCGGCATTTGGCTTTTAATGTGTTTACTTTTGGCAGTGTTTGTTGTTGGTCGACGGCCCCATAAAAGGCCAAAAATGCAAAATGCGAAATAGTTTTCAATTTTAATTCTGATTAGTTTCTTTGGCCCCGGTGTCTGTCTGAGGCGTTTACCAAATCTCCAAGCTAGTTGAACCGACGAACCGCTTTTGATGATTGCCATCTCTTGGTTATGATAAACCGGAGGAAACTCCCGAACTCCGTTCCCCAACCTGTGACCCAAACTCCGCACTTATATGAACTGTAAACTGTAAATCGTAAACTGATGAGAAGATCTCATAGAGGAAGTGGCACAGGAGATATAGGAGTGCTGATAAGACCGATGAAGCTCGAGCTTCTGTCGGGAGTTGACTCTTTGGGAAGAGAGGTCTCCGAACGCTTGAGTGGCTCATAATGAGTAGCCGGCTGAAATCAATTCTTATCTATGGAATGGGTCAATAAAAACTAACTATAAATAGCCATTAGGGGGCCATCCTCAGTGGGGTGTGAATGGAATTGCTATTGAGTATTGGGAATTATGTGATTTCCCCTGCGCAACTGGTTTCAAGAAGTCATTCCGATTCGAGACTTTCTAATTTTCATAAAACCTAAAATATCAAATATCAGTTGTTTATGAGCTGAGACTTTATGTTAAAATCATTAAATTCTTCAAAACCATAAACCTTTGAGTTTAATGAAACGAATTTATAGTTGAGTTGGGATGGTTTTGAATTCATAATACATAATTAATAGTAAGTTAATTGAAACCAAATAAAATATTTTAAAATATTTTAACAATGACTAATTTATTTATTTAAATTATTTTATTATATTTTTTTATATTTTTTTTAGGACTCTGGTCAGGACATTACCAACCGCGTGTTCCAGGGCTGCGGCAGACCGAAGCTGAAGAAAATGAAGCGTTCGATCAGCCCGAAAATGCAAGGAGTTCAGGTGCTCAATGCAAAGAGTCCTGTGGAGGCTGATACCCTGGACATCGATGCCACTCTGGATGAGGCAATGGTGCTGAGGGAGCGCAGAGCCGCTGAGCCAGGCTCCCAGGATTCCTCGGGGCAGCAGTCCCAGGAACAGGGAGTGGGAAAGGGTGGAAACGGAGGAGGAGGAGGAGGAGGTGGTGGCAACAACAGGCGCCAACAGCAACGAAGGAAGCAACAACAACAGCGACGCAAGCAGCAGAACAATCGGGACGACAACGATGACGATGACAATGAAAGTGGCGGCGGTGGACGCGAACCCATTCTGGACAAGATCGTAAGGGACATTCGTCAGCGGGTGAAGGACTACAAGAAGTTCTGGTCCAATCTGCCGCACTCCGTTTGCAGCAACGAGGATATAGCCTCCAGCTCCGACGTGGATGGCATGTGCTGGAATGGTCACACAATCGACAGGTAAGGAAATAAATATATTCCTATTAAATAAGCATTAATAAACTGAATTTAACTTTTAGGTATATGCACTCGATCACCACGGAGCATGGATCTAATCCGGAGTTCAGTGGAAATCCTGCCAGCACTAAGCAAACCGCACAAATGTCCGCGCAACTCAGCCACCTGAAGAATGCCATCGTTCATCTGCGGAATGCCTACAACGGTCAGGATGTGGAGTGGACTGAACAAGGTGAGAAAGAGTTGTAATTAATACAGCAAAAACAAAATTTTTAAAACTTTGTAATCCCATCCAACATAGCTAGAGTTTTATTACCCAATTTTCAAAACTCTTTAAAATGTTGTATATATAAAGCTCAACTAATTACAATCGGAGAAAATACCTCCCCAAAGATTTTGCAACACGTTTATTAAGTTTTTGTGGGTAATAATAAATCTTTCATTATAGCGTTGATTTATGTTCAGTTTTTTAAGTGTTATTTATTTGTTTGTCTTATTCTCCTTCTATTCATATTAATAATGTCCATCTGAATTTTTATTAGTTGCCCTTACGAATAGATTAAAATGTTTTTTGTTTTGTTTTTAGACTGATCATAAACTTTGAATCATAGTGATCATATTTCGCTGATAAGTGAAATTATAAGCTCACTTTGTTTTCGTTGCAATTCATGCACTTACTCATGTTGCTTTCTTATTTACAGAAGAGCTGCCTTATGCGGGCAGTGGGGCTGGCTCCGGATCGGGCTCCGAGGATGACGAGGACGATGACGAGGGCTCCGGCCTGGGACCGTTCGAACCGAGCCACAAACCGGACGTGGAGCGTCCCGCGGTGGACGTGGACAACGACGACGACGAGGACGCCGGTGGCCGGGCGCACTTGCCCACGCACACTTCGCGACCGACGAGCGGAGGCGATGACAAGAACCCGCTCATCCACACCACCCACTTCGACCAGGATCACAACGATCTGGATGAGGAGCACCGGCAGGAGGAGGACGACGAGGACGACGGCCACGGCGATTCGGGGGGCCAACCGGGGCGATGACAACCGATCGTCCGACGCCCCCGAGAAGATGACCCTGCGTCGCGCTCTGGTTGTCTATCTGCTGCCGCTCTATATGGCGTGGTTCGGCGGCGTCTGCGCCGATTTGCTGTGATTACCCAACGTGCGAAAGGCAGCCGAGTGGCAGTGGAGCACGGCTGCTGCATCCCCCACACACACCTACACCTCTCAGTCATTCATCCGTGAAGCAAAATGTTATTAGCAGAACTACATGCAAAACAAAAAACAAACCCTTATATACGAAATGCGAGTCCAAAATTTTATAAAAACTTTTGATAGAAGCAATCAAAACGCAATTGAGAATGTACGGGCCTTTTTCGAATTTTACACTCTCTGTCAGGAAATTTCGAATGTAAATCAGTTCACATCACAATAAGTTTGTGATTCATAAGCTAATAATTAACTTCAGCGAACTTCCAGCTGTTGTAAAAATTGAGAAAGGCCTGGTTTTAGGCGTTCCGTTAGCGAAACGCGTTAGGAGATCAAGAAATTAGTGGAGGAGAGAGAATACGTAACGAGCCCATTTTAGTTTAGTAAGCCCCCCAATGCCCCCTGCCCCCCACACTCTAAGTCTAAGTGCGAAATTGTATTTTGTAAGCCAGAGAGCGAAAGAAGGAGCGAGTGAGTGCATGAGTGAGTGAGTGAGTGTCGCCGAGTGAGTACATTTATCGAGTGTGAGTGCGAGCGGAGTGCCTGTTCAATGTGATCGTTTAGCAAAAATTAACTATAAACATTTAGCCCCTAGAGACCTAAGCGGAAAACAAACATACCTACACCTACATATTTAATTTGTATTATATTTATGCATACGCGCATATGTAACGAGCAAGTTGCCACACAGCACACGAATTCAATTAGCCCCAACATGAACAGCAATAACTAATTTGTAATTTGTAGTCTAACTGATAAATCGAAAAAAACTGATGATGTCTAATTTAACTTAACACGGCCATAGAAAAGCGTCCGAGCCACGGCTTTTGTAATTTGTATCTTTTGTAGACAGCCCTGACTTTTGCCAGCCATCACGCGCATTTCAAACTAAGCTGAGTAAACCTACATATTTATATTTATTTTTGATTTTTTATCAGTTTTTATATATTGTATTAAAACAAGTGGAAAAAGAAAAAATACAAAAAGTAACAAAGAAATTATTTGCTTTTTCAATGGGTTGAAGGGTTTATGCAAAAGTGAAGAAAATTTATAAATTGTAAATTAAAGTAAATTTTTGGCCTTACCGGAAGCGGAAATCAGTGCTGCCAATGCGATTTTAAGAGGTAAAGTGTGAATAACAAACGCTAGATGTCGCACATGCATATAATACTTAAGTGGCGCTGTACCGCACAATGCGGGCAATCGCGAAAGATAGATGTCGCTTTAATCCTAATCGAGTTTTGAATAAATTGTTCTGCAAAAAGTTCAAATTTAAAAAAAAGTTATATAGATTTTTCAAGTTCTTGTTAATAACAAACTAGTTAAATGGAATGTTAATTGATCTTCCTTTTAATTTTACACAATTTTCAACGGTCGCTTGCCCTTAAACATAACAAAAAATATAATAATAATCGAAAGCAAATGAATTACTTCTCGGGCATCTCTTCAATTAATTTTTGATTATCATCAGCATCTTCCTTCATGTCCACTTCCTCGTCATCCACAAAGTCAGAAAACTTATGCTCCTCGTCATCCAATTCATTCTGCAAGGCATCCAAGTCCTCATCTGTATCTCCGCGATCATCGGAGCAGTACGGCGGAATGGTGCTGCTCAATTTGTGCAACGAGGTCTCCAGACTGGAAACACGGGCCAGTAAAACCTCCAAACGCTTGTCGATCTCATCAAAACTCTGACTTTCGGCCAAGGAACACTCTCTTTCCTTTGAGAGACGCTTTTGCAAAGCTGCAGAGCTTGTCGTTGGCAACTCCGTTGAATTCAAAGAAGACATCATCAAATTTAAATAAAATATTTTTTGAGATTGAATTTCTAATTTCTTTGTGGGGTTCTTTGACTTATATAAAATACTGAACGAAAGCACCTAAGCCTTCTATGAAATTGACAATTTTTGAATGTAATTTTAGAATCGAAATAATTGCACCCGCATGCTTTGCTGATATAAATTAAGTGGGATGTGACGATATGATGATGACTAATTTTGGTAATAATTTTTTTTCTCAATGTGCCGAAAATTTTAATTCATTCATGCGGCCGGCGAGTTGAAGAGCAAGAAAACTCCGAGATCGAGCCAAAACGAAACCGTTCCGAGATCTCAGGCGTCGCTCCATCCGTCGGAATATTTGTGGCTCTCTGTGTATCTTTGGGTGCGCGGGGAGCTTGTGGTGGCTTTTTTTTCAGTGAGCGCGCGAGCGGCGTACGGTAAACAACTGCTGCCAACGCAACGTGAAAAATAAGCGGCAGAAAGGAAAATTTCAAAACGTTAACCTGGAGGCCCCCCCGTTGTGCACACGAAAATATATCTATGAGATGCGCGAATCTTGATCCGTTGCAAAAATTTCGAATTTGAATAATTACGCAAGGTGCGGCACACGTGAGTGCGGTCGTCGGATGAAATGAAAAGTGGTTGAAGCGAAAGTGAAAATAAAAGTCAATTTTCTTGTGATTACTGTGATGAGTAACCAATTCGATATCAAGTGAAAGACAAATAGATAAGGCTATCAGCAATCTTACAATTCGCTATCGTTCATCCGCAATTCCGCGTAAGTTTCATTAGAGAAAATACTTAAATTGTATAAACAAACATTCGAAATGAGATAAACTTTTTCGGTGTTTCTCCGTTCTTCGGGCCAATTTAACGTTTGACTTTTAAAGCCAACGTCTTCTTCCCAGCGCCTTTCATCTTTATTTGCCCCCTTGTGTTTACAGCTGTTCGATGAAAACCAGTTTATACCGACTAGCAAGCTAATGTTTCTAACGATATTTTTGCTTTTCGGGCCGCATCAAGCCGCTGAAAGTCTAGTCTTCTAGCTGCAACAGTGGCTTTTGGTTGAAGGTTGCCGAAGCCCAGAGTCTTGCCTCGTTACTCGCGCAATTACCAGACAGCTGAACAACTGTTGTCAGCTGAATGATGGCTTAGAGATGACTAAAAGCAAATAAAAATTGTATTTTCATAATTGGAAAAACAAAGAATGGAACAAAATTTAGCACAAACTCAAATTCTTATTTAAGTGGATATTTATCCGTTGGGTTAATGGTATTTGTATTAGCTAGTTGTTGACATTTATTATATATGCATTTTATTTTAACGATAAATACCCATGACGGGGCTTTTGTGCAAAAGATAACAGACATTTAAATTTAACGCTTAGCGTTTTCCTTTTTATTTTAATAGCTTTAATACCTAACTAGTAATATCAAAATGTTACTCAACTTAAAATTTGTTTTAGTAGGATGACTTTAACATATCGACCGATAAAAAAAGATATAAAAAAATAAAAGACCATTTTTAAGTTGTGTTAAAAAAAAATTCGCACTTGCGAATTTACCACATAGCAGAGCAAGGTTTCGATCCTCGGACCTCTGGGTTATGGGCCCAGCACGCTTCCACTGCGCCACTCTGCTTGCTTGTTAATCTATGGCTCTAAGGCCGACTTCAGCATGAGTAAGATATATTTACAGCATTATCGACCCATATAAACCTGTTAACTCTTGGAGCAGTTCCATTAACAGTATACTGCTTGAGTATTTACTCTGCTTTATTACTCAAGCATGACGTCGGTAACACAGTGCAGAGTTGCTGTTTGTCTTAAGTAGCTCTTTAGACAACCACTAACCAACAAGCAGAGTGGCGCAGTGGAAGCGTGCTGGGCCCATAACCCAGAGGTCCGAGGATCGAAACCTTGCTCTGCTATGTGGTAAATTTGCGAGTGCAAATTTTTTTATTTCCTTTTTGTAAATGAGTTACACTGTGAACATTTTGTAGTGATCTTTTATAGCCCTTAAAAATTCTGTGACGACTATTAATTGATAATCAGTTCTTTTTTAGAAACAAAACTCCACCTAAAGAATCAAACACTCTGCTTTTTGCATATCTAACCTACTGCATTGTTTAACTTTATTCAGTTGTTTTAGTATAAAAGTACATAATATGAGCTAAACTACTAAGGGTTTTTCACTACAACTAGGGCAAAGAATTGTCCACCGCTTTGAGCACTCTCTGTATCAGTAATCCTCGTCGCAGAAGCAACCGTCCCGCGAGTTCTCCACAATCCAGTCCAGATACTTTGTGACCCGAGTGTAGACCCCGGGATAATTGGGTCTGGCACAACCATTGCCCCAGGAAACAATTCCGATCTGTTCGAAGCGCTTGTCATCCGGCCGGAGTCTAACCAGCGGACCGCCGGAGTCGCCTTGACAACTGTCCCGCCCACCAACTCCCGGATAACCCGAGCACATCATGTTCTTGGTGATCATCTTCTGGGTGTAGTTCGTCTGGGCCACGCACTCCTCGTTGTCGAGAACGGGCACCTCGACCTCCTGCAGCAGACACGAGGGTTTGCCGTCCTCCTTGAGGGTTCCCCAACCGGTGGCAATTGCCTTGGTGCCGACAAACAAATCCTGACGCTCCTCCACCCGCGGCAAGCAGATCGGCCTGATAAAGCTGGTTATCGGCACCCGATCGTTCAGTCGCAGCAGGGCTATATCGTTGTCGAAGTTCGAGAAGCTGAACTTCTGGCTGAAGGCGCGCAGTACGAAGCGCGTTTCCGGGCGCTCCTTGTCGTTGCAGCGATCGTGCTCCCCGAAGGTCACCTTGATCATGAACCACATGAATCCCTTGACGCAATGGGCCGCCGTTAGCACGTAGCGATCGTTGATCAGCGTCCCGCCACAGTAGAACCTGTTGAAGTAGCTCAGCCGCGCCATCCACGGATATTCGCTCACACCCGTCGTCGTGCCGCCCACAATTCGCGATTCATCGTTGCGCTCGCCGCATCTGTAAAAGATAATAGGGCAAAAACAAAATTTGTTTTGAAATATTTTTATAAAAAAAAAATTAATATTTCAAAGAACTCAGTTCACTAAATAAGTATGGCATTTTCAAAGTTAAATTAGATTAATTTCTTGATGTATTTACATTAATGGTTAGTTGATATTTCTTGAACTAAAAATACAAAAAAATTCTAAGAAAAAGTCCAAGACTACCAAAATGTTAGCCATAATGGTTGCCGAAGCTTGTTAAGATAATTCGATAATTCGTTTCCTGTTTATTTATGCCATTATATTTTTAGCGGTTCTATTAAAGTTTTTCTTAAAACACACAACCAACGTTTTACTTAAAAGCTAAATGTCTTTGTAATACAAACAGCAGATTACCCATAGTTTAATGCTTAATGCAACCTCATTAGCAAGACCATTTTGTTTACGATTTACGACAAAGAGAAAGACAGATTGGGTCAAGGGTGATAGAGCCTGCGATCTCTCTCGATTGGCAAGTTCAGAGTTCAGCAACCCCGGCATAAAGAAAGTGTCAAAGTGCTTTATGTCCGTCCATAACATACATAAAATAAATGAGCGATTTTCGCAGATTTTATGGCGGCCATCAGCAGAGGCACGACCACAACACGTTACATTAAACAGGTTTTTAATTACCCATGGGACAGCATAAAAAACAATACAACAGAACACCGCATGCAGCCAAAAACTGAATAAAAATCTTCCACCCAGTCGGAAAGGAAGCGTAACAAGTTATCTCCTCTCTTTCGGTTTATTTTGGCCACACAATCAATCGATCCGGCCGCAACAAGTATTTGGGATTCAGATTTTGTGTGTGTGCTTAATCGTGTCATTGCCCCAAAATGGTGGTCGGCCTGGTCGGTCGAGAGGCGTCCCGAAACAAAGAAGCAGAATGTGCGACGGCGACCCACTTAGGAGACGGCCAAGACAGGGAACGGCGGCCAAAACCCGAAGAACACCGAAGAATTCCCCTGCCTCCCTCGCAGACATTAATATAATATAATACGACATGACGCATTGAGCGTACGCCTTTTACAGTATCTGCCATGCTCATCTGTATCTGCTGGGTGTACAAACACACACACACACACACACACACACACTCGTATTTAAAAGCCCAGCCGAGACTGTTATCAAATCGTATGCAAATCAGTTTCTTTTCTTCTTTGAAATGCAAAAAAAAAAAAGTAAAAACTTTATATAGAAATAAAACGGGTTTTAGGCCTTCATTAACAAAAAGAACAACGTTTGCGGCTATTGATTCCAAGTAAATATATCGTTTTTTGAGGCCATAAAGAAATAGGGATTAGGGGAACTTAATCAAAAATTAATTGAAAAAGTTGCAGTTAAAAATATCCTTATTGTTTCCCTTTTTTAAACCTCATGAGCTTACAATTCTTATGCCTTTTATAGTATTTTTCCAGCTCAGTTCCCTTTTTGTTGTCGAATCTATAAATACCCTCGGGTGTTTGCTTATGCCAAAAGCCAACTGCCGAAAGCCAAAGTTGAATTCCCAATTGGTTGTGCAATTTGTTTAATGGCCACGCAGGAATGCATTCCAAAGGCAATTCTTCAGAGAGAACCTGGCTTTAAGGTCATGCCGGGAATTGGCTTTGCAAAACGGGTAACAGATGTGCAGAGGAATCTTTTGAGATGTGAAGAATGTTCAAGGCGTTCTCTCTGCTAATGTAATGGAATGTTTCCTATAAATCATTCAATTTCCACAAGTTTAGCTGAAGGAAAGTAGTTAAGTAGTTATTTTTGGTAGAACTAGAAAATCAAGAACGAAACGATTTTTTGTTTTGATTAAGAACAAGTCGCTAAAAAATATTTTGGAAACTCTCACAGAATTCTTTGCCAAAGACTGCAAAATAGATATTCTAAATTTCTTAATTCATCTTAAAAGATCTTGCAATGCTTGGAATTTATGTACTTCCCCTACGACCTTTTGTAATAATAGTAGTAATTAATTTGTATTCCTATTTCCACTTTTAACTCAGCTTTCTTTTATTAACTAAAAGGAGATTTTTGGGGCAGGAACATATCTCCGATTGCGTGACCGCCTCGCAGGCACTAAAATCCACCTGTAACTTTAACTGTTTGTGCCATTCTGTGCCATTTGCCGTGACAATGACAACGACAGAGTTGTTTATCACTTCTTCGGCCGTCTAACTGGAAGTTGTCATCATGGCCATGACAGCTTTTGTATCTTCTCGTAACTTTTGTATCTGTATCTGTATTTGTATGTCTCGCGGGGAGCAACTCACCTGCAGGAACATGTCGGCGATGTTTGGTTCTGAGCTGCCGGCGAATTATTGCGATTGAAGGCACCGAACCAATTCTTGATCGGATTTTGCCGGAATACAGGTTTATGGCCATTGGCATCCGAGGAGGAAGCGTTGACGGCTCCGATTTTCAGCTTCTTCGCCTGATGGTGGGCTGCACCCAATGCTTGATATTTGCCCGGAATCGAGGATAAAAACGATGATGTTGATGTTGCTGGTGTCGCTGATGTTGCTGTTGCATTTGTTGCTGCTGCTGCTGCTGCTGCTGCTGGTGTCTTTGATGTTGTTGCTGTGGCGATGGCCAGGCAGGAAGCAACGGCCAGCACGAGTGTCCAGTGACGTAAGTGGAGCATCATCTTCATCTGCCCGCTGGTTATGCAATTCAATGCATGTAAACTTAATGAGCCTTTTGGTCTCTCGTCGTAGCGGTTTCGACGATCGGTTCCGTTAACGGAATATATTTCGATTCTCGTTCAGCTTGTTCTGAAGCGCGGGGGATTTCTCGAAATCAACGCTCCGTTCTCCGTTCGCACCGCACTTGTTAATTATGTAAATCAAAGACGGTTTCTTTCTGTCTTATTGTTGTTGCACTAATTGAACCATTTCACATGACTGCAAACTGTCAACAAGTCGCGCCCTAATCCCAAGCGAATTTCTCGATCTGTTTGTTTGTTTGCTCTTTCCTACAATATATAGTATGCTCGCTATATAATTAGTTCGCACCACCGCGCACGCGAAAGTCTGCAGGTCGACTGATACGAGGCTTCGGCGCAGAAGAGCGACTAAGCCATTTTACCAAGGCCCCCAAAACGCCGCAGTCGACTGCGACGCCGGCAGCAGTGGCGCCGCCGGTGGGGCAAAGAAAGTTGCGCATGCGCAGCGCAGCGTGCGTTGGCAGCGACGCCGACAGAGGCAGAGGGTACATATAAAGAAATATTACGAAGAAGAAATCGGTTTCTTAGTTAATTTGTATAACTTATTTTGTAAGAAAGCACTTTTTTTCCTCCAAAAAGTTGTTAATAAAAGAAAAAAAATTGTACTTTAAATTCGCAATCCTATTTTTACAACATTATTATGTACATTGGTATAATCAATCATTTTTTTTTCAATTAATAGCTTGGAAACTATTAAAGCTTAGTTTTTGCTAAGATTTAACTTCAGCTTTATTCTGCCATGAACAAAAATAGCAATAATAATCATAAATATCTTTATGGTACAATTGCAAGATACAAAGTAAAACAGCGGTAAAGTTAAACGTTAATTTTATTGAATGATTTTAGTTTTAGTTTCTAGAAAAACATTTTTTAGCAGTGTAGAGAGCTGGCCAAGTCAGAACAGAACGAAGAGAGCAGACATACTTGTGTTGGCTTTCCTGAGTTCTTAATATGCTAATGTGACAGTTTGCTTTGGCTAAGTTTTTTTTTTTTTTGAATGGAGTGTGTGCGTTGGGAGTTCTTGGTTCTTCCTCTTTCCTGCTGTCGCCGACATCGTCTGTTTAACGTTTGTTTATTATGCTCGCAACGCACGTCAATACACCGTGAAAATTTTAATCAATGAGAACGAATTTGGGTATTTAACTGTGATTAATCTGTTTATTCAATAAATCCCTTAAGAAAATACGCATCTTATGTTTGATTGCACTTATGATTTTATTCAACATTTGTTTCACTATTGTTCATGGCTTATATCTTTTAATAAAGTTTAACTTTACAATTTCTGTGTTTTCCAAATTTACGTAATGTAAATAATATGCAGTACTTTTAGTATTCCTTTTTTTATGACTTGTTCTCAGTGCACTGCCAGCAAATATTTTCGTATGGCTCACAAACACTTACAAAGTGGAAGTGGAAACAAGAGTTCACTTCCAACGGCCAACACAAACATCCTTTAAGATCGGCAAATATGAGCTTAAAATATAAAGTGGGCGAAAGAGAGATTTGAATTATATAGTTTTTCTAATCGGAATGATATGCACCTAAGAGCCCCCACACACACACACACACTGACATTCCGACTCGTGGTATTTTACTTTAGTTTTTCATTATTCAAACTCTTTTATCTTTTCCGCCGACTTTTCACTTGCCCAGGGAAAGAGAGAGGAAAATCCAACGTATTTTTTCGCATTTTCATGTTCATTTACCGCTGCATGAATTGACAAAAAAAAGAAAATCAAACAGTTTCAGTATTTGCATTTGCCCAACGACTGATGTTTAAATTAAATTACTTTTAATATGTTTCAACTGGACTCGGCAACCGCAGTTGACCCAATTAAGTGAAATGGAAATTCATTAAAAGTGTCGCACATCAAATGATTTTATTGTTTAATTTGGTAATGCATCGAGTCCACGCTGACATTCCTTTGCAATATGAAAAGCTCAATTGTCATTAAATCGATTAATGTTCAGTAGACAGATTGCAAAATGAATGTCATATGCACAATGGAAAATGTATTTTCAGCTTAATGAGATGAAAAAGATACACAAATGCTGGTTTTATAGTTGAGTGGCAAACAACTGTTCAGAAGAATGCAACTTAACTTAATAAAGATTTGTTTAAATGAATTTAAACGTTTGAATGTTTACGAGTTTTAGAGATTGATTTTTGGTTCATTACAAATTTATACAAAATTTGCGAAAATATCCGAGTAATTGTCTTTGAATTCCAGTTTAACAACCCCACCCGACACTCCCTACATTTCCTGCCATTCCAATTGCATTTATTCCGATTTGCATATATACATATCAGACAACCGAACACATGAAACTACTCTCTTATGCAAAGCTCAACAATCCGTGCCGAAAAATGAAAAGTAATCTCAAGTAATCGCAAGATGGGCAAATTCAATGGGTTCCTTATTAATTGAAAGCATGCAAATTTCGCCTCTTCTAATTTTTCAAAACCCAAATTGCTTTCTTTTCGGGCAGCAGACACTCGTAATTGTTAATTGGAGGGAAGCCAACTGAGACACCACGAGAGGGCCGAAAGGTTAGAAAACCAGGGGACCAGAAAGCGATTCCCTGACATGCGAGCCAGAGTTTCGAATCCGTGACGACAAAATCATTGCATCACAGAGATTAGCAGACACTATTATTGGGAGTAGCCAAGCAAGATGAGTGCCGCCGGCTGGCTGGATATGAATGCAGCTCTCCAGAACCTCAGCTCCACGACGCCGGAGTCCACCCAGAAACCCAGAAGCAAGCGAAGGAGCAGCTACGCCGGACGTACTGCATCCACAGCCGGAATTCACGGACGTGCCAGCATTGGAAGCGTAAGTTCCGGAATATTCAAAGCGTTCCGCGAACGGTTTCTCAGCAGCGATGACTCCGGAGATTACCGGAAGTTGAGGCAAAGGGATGCGGAGGCCGGAAGAGCTGGCCACAGCTCCACTGAGAGTTCCGGCGAAGATGAAGGACCCAGCAGCAGCAGCAGTGTCGAGGATCTTTTCGCCCATGAAACGGAGCGCCGCAAATGGCAGAGGAGAACTTCCGAGCAGCGACGTCGAGCAGCAAGAAAAAAGGTTAGTGGTTTTTACATATTTAAAAAAAAAAAAAAAAAATATTTTTAATATAAGCCTACACGCAAAATACTATATTCAAATAATAAATATTTATAAGGTATTAAAACTTTGTAGTGTAATTACTATTACAACCAACACTTTAATTTTATTTCATAATTACCATTTCAACCATTATTACAACTTTTATTGCTAATGTAAAGCATTTAAAAAGCGTATGAGCAATTTCACACCACCAAGATCACTCTAAGCGCTGCTCTCTTAATTTAAAAGAATTTTTTTAATATATAGTTTTCTCAAAGTTACCTATAAGTTTAGCAAACTACTGGTAACATAAATCATGCCGACGATTTGTGCTTAAACTATTTCCATAACCATTTGTTACCTCTTGCTTGAAACTTGTTTAAGGTCTTCATAAGTTTTGCAAAACCTCTAAAGTGGTTTTTAATTTAGGAAGTTACCTGTTCTCCTTTTCCCACAGCTTTAAAAGAAAGCTCACATGAACTGCATTTCAATATCGCTCTGAACTGATTTCATATATATTCCGATCAGGTCTTCTAAACTACAGTTACGTGTTCGGTTTTATCAGACTTTGATTTGTCTTTCAAATTGGTTCACTCTCAGCACGAACTGTCGCATGGAAAACTATAAAAATTCCATTTTCAGTTTCGTTTTCGTCCACTGGCGAGTCTCATTTGCATTAAGTGGAATCTGATTTAATTGGTATATTAAATAATTGCATTAATCGCTTGGGTGTGGTCGAACTTTAATGCGCCAGCTATTTGATAATTATTTAATGAGGAATCATTATACATTGGGGTTACTGGACGATACGCTCTGTTTCTGAGGAACGTGTTTTCACTTTCGTTTGTTTATTCAAAAAAGTAATGAGATAATTCTATTAAATAGTTTTTACAGATAACACAAATCCATATTAAACGATGCTAAATAAAAGTGTGCACATGTGTGAGTTATTTGATTAAAATTCAGTTATTCTAAGTCCACAACATTTATAATTTTAATCAGATTTTGAAGTGCCATACCTCTAAATGTTTGTATTTTAATTCTATAACAAACTGCATCATAAAAATAAATTTTAAATTTTTGGCCGATTTTTTTCAATTTTTATGATGTAAAAAATTCCAAAATTTTCAAAAATAGGTTTGCTGAAAATTGACCAAATTTCAGCAGTTTTAAGTCCATAAATTCAGATTTAAGTGGAATACCTCTAAAGGTTTGTATTTTATTTCTATAGAAAACTGCATCTAATTTTTCATTCCCATTTTTTTTTTTCAATTTTTGTTTAAAACTTATAAATTTCCCACTGTACATTTCTCTCTCCTGAACAGCTGCCGCTAAAGCTTTCACTTTGTTTACAAACAAACGGCTAAAAGCTGCCTAACTCTCTCTTACTCTTTTTTATTTTCTTCATTTTCCACTCTCTTCTTCTCTCACGAGTGCTTTTCCTGCCGGGCTTTTCACGTGGCTCAAATCTCAGCATCTGACTCTAAGCGACTTCAATCCAGTTTTTGGTCCAGTTTCAGTCTTGCGAGGATTTCGGCTTAACGTTTTTGTGCTGCGTTCATCTAGGATTTTCTATTTATTTTTTTTCTGACCATTTCGTGGTCCAGCGGACTTTAAAGTCGCAGCCGCTTAAAGTTACGCGACTTTTTGGCTTATTTTTGTTTGTTTGTTTGTTGGCATTGCTCAGCCGCACTGTGTGCCGCATGTGTGGGAGAGAGAGGGAAGATTGTGCGATTCTAGTTTTATTTTTATGCTGCTCCTGACTCGCTTGACTGCACATCCTGTTCATCCTATTTTCACATTTTGGCTTCGTGGCCGTGTTCTTTTCCCTGCGAATTATTCAGCTGGCGCATTTATTTTAAAGATACACAAAACAAAATATCTAACACAATTCGTTTCTCTAGCAGTTTTAAAGAGGGTTTACTGCATTCTACTCTTTATTTATACATAATTCCAAATTTTTTATGTTGACGGAACACATTAAAATTTAAAAAAAATATTTACCAGAAAATATTTGACACTCTAAGCATTAATCGTATAAAAACGATAGTAACTTTATACTTAACCCATTTTTATTGAGAGAACTTTTATTGACCACAAATACTACATATAAATTATGAAGGAAATAAAACTCCGCCGTAATATTTTTGTAAGTGCTTTCCCAGCCATTTTTCACCAAAATAAAACGAGCGCAAAAAATATATAAATAAATGGCCAAAAAATTTTGCGCCACTATGTCGCCTGAGGAGAAAAAATCGCGAATGCAATCGGTAGACCCAGATCTATGACTGGAACTTGGGCCCAACTTTCTCCCCTGCCAAGTGGCCACCACTTACATAACTCAAACCAGCTACGCAGTGTTGCCGGAACCACCAGGTGGGACCCATCCACATGTGGCCCAATGATTTATGCACGCTACTTAATGCCTTCTTAATTACATTTTATGTTACAACCGAAAATAATAATATCTTGCTGAAAAACAGCAGACAAGAGTGGGTAAGGAGTGTTGTGCTCACAAATCACATTCCTTTCGGGGGGAGGAGAAAAGGGGGAGGGGGAGAGGGAGGGGAAAGGACACGTCCCAGCTGCCAACACAATGCGGAAAACGCTTTCACTTTCAACCTCGGTGCAGCTGCTGCCGTCCCGCTTTTCCCATTTTCGCAGCCTTTCCCCTCACCAAAGCCATATGCGACTGAAACAAAAATCTATTTGGCAATGGCCTTGGGCTTTGGGCTTTAAGAGAGTTCAAGGGGGGTGGGGGTTCTTCTGGGGACAGACGTTCTTGTGTATTCAGTCAACACAAATTTGCGTGGCCTTTTTTCGGATGGGGTTCGGGTTTATTTTTTACCCTCTGCAGTTCATTGAAATGTGTGCGACAAGCGAAATACAATTACACCATGGATTCATGTTCATTGTCGGGATGCGTGACGTCAGCTGAGGGATCGGGGGATCGGGGGATCTGGACATATATCCCGGGGTGCATTCCAATGCGAACCAATACCCTCTGTTGACAGCGATAGTTGGATTGCATTGCGAGCCCAAGGTAAAAGTTCAGTTACGTGATGTTTGCGTTGTATTCGGGGTAACAGATTTCAGTGGCTTTTTGTTTTGCAGAGGACTGAGTGAAAGGGGCCTTATCAGAATGGGATTCAATTACGGCCTTTGCTTTAAAATTTTAACAGGCAGTGTAGCCCTGAAAGGATTTTCATTTAAAGGAATAAATTTAAGCATACGCTTTTACTAAAAACCTAACAGCAACTTTAATTCCCCGAACTATCCAAAACGAAGTTTAAAAATCGCTCTGAATAAATTGGTCCCTTCATGCCCTCGTTTCCTGGGGTTCTGGGATTCTGGGCCAAGCGGCTTGTAAGCCCGGTTAGTGCCACGTTTATCCAAGCTGCAAATGACAAAGCCATGGTCCGTGGACCGCGGTCGCTTTAAGTTCGGCCAGAGCTGTCAAGTGGTTGCCATTGAACCAGAACAAGAAGCGAAATCCCTTTCAGGCAGAGGACCCTGTGCGCTTCCTTTTTGTGCGCCGGACACTTTCGCCGACAGCTCGTGTTAAACAAATTAAACACGTAGCCCAAAAGCGTAGTTCCCCACAGTCGAAAATCCTTTTTGTCGAATGCCAAACTGGGACCCCGCTGTGGTCGTGGCCATTGTAACATAGCCACGCTGTTGGCCATAACCGTGTTGTTAACTCGGCCACGTTTTCGTGTTGCCATTGCTCCCAGCCCCTCCGAAATTTTTAGCCTGAAAGTCAAATTAGCGTTTCCCTTCGCCACTCGAGGGGCGCGTGAAAAATGCAAATTTCTGTTCTGTTCTGTTCTGCTCCGACTGTTCATAATTTCGACTGGCGGCCCTGGCCGGGATTGGAAGGTCAAGCCCGGGAAATAATAATTACACAATTTATAATTCACAAAACAATTGTTTTTGACAAGTGAAATATTTTTGTTCGAGCACAGTTGGTTCTCTGGTACAAAAGTTTGCCACTAAATGGGCGTCCAAGTTTTTAATTGAAATGCCTAAAGTGGAACCCATAGTTTTCCAGCCAGTTGAAAGTGAAATGTCGCCTATGGCGGGAAAATGTTCTTGAATAGGGTAACTGGGGACCAGGCAACCCTTCATGGATTTTCACTGGTTAAAAAAAAAAGAGCAGCTATATTTTTTCTCCTAGAAGCTTGGATATTCCGAACCACGTTGCCTGGGTAACTAAATAAACGACCTCGAAGGGCAGCACTCGGAAAATAAACAAAAGGCATTGTTCTGACCTGAGTTTTAATACATTACCTACATGGTACGAATTTCTAACATACATTTTCCTACCGCAGTAAGCTAGGAAAATCATCAATATATCAACAAGGTAGCCTGGGAAATCGTTGTCAAGGTTAGGTAACAAACATGCGGCTAGATTTCTTCATTCGCTCGACAACATCAAATAAGTGAACAACACCAAGTAGAAAATAAGTTAAAAGTGAAAAAAGTGTGAGAAAAGCAGTGATAAATAATTCAGTGCCGTGTTCGACCCGCCTTGTACAAAATGTCGATCTTTGACCATCCCGACCAGCTGAAAATGCTGCAGGACCTCCTGAATCCCAATCAGAGGAGAGGTGGCATCGACTACAGCAGCAGCGAGGATGAGGAGGAATCCATGGTGGCTCGCAAGCTGAGTGAGTAGAGCTGCTTTTTTGGAGTAAAAAATTAAAAGGAATATGTGGCAATCCCGGAACTCATTCTTTCATTTTTCCTTTAAGATCCTGGTTCAATTGGGCCAGGTGGAGCAGCAAATACTTCCGCTAAAGCCAAGCGAAAAAAGAAGCCCAATGCTTATGCGACTCCTTTGGTTGAGGAGGAGAAAAAGCAGCCGACGAATCTGGAGGAATGGCAGGACCAACAGGAGCGTGAGGACAACGATATACTCGAAACTCGAAAGAGTCCCGAGTACACGATGACCTATCGGCAAGCTGTGGGCACCGAGGACGTCTTCCTGCAGGTAAAATATAAGTTAATAATATATATATCATTCCTACAATATATGTTTACCTTATAGATGGGAAATCGAACGGGTTCCTCGGCGAGCTGTGAAGATCTCATCTTGGAAATTTCGCTGCCAGACGAGGAGATGGCAGCTGACAAGATGACGCTCAACTTGCAGGAAACGGAAGTGGATCTGGGGACTTGTTTGTACCGCCTGCGATTACCGCTCCCTCATCCCGTCGATGTAGATCGTTGTCAGGCCAAATACGATACTGAACTAAAGAAACTGCGGCTCACATTACGGCTCAAAAGGGAGCTAGACTACGTAAACTTTTAAAACTGCTCTTCAGCATAACAGGTTCTATATTTACACAACACTTCAATCAACAAAAACATAACCATATCCCATTATCTTCACACGCACTACTTATACACACGCACTACTTCTACACACATAGCGCTGCCATTTTTAGGAAAAATATATCAAAATTTTCTGTGGACCGAATTTTTAATTTTTAATTTGGGATCAAGGAAGTAAAAATAAAATTCTAGTTGAAAAGTAGAATGCCCAAAATAACATACTTTTATCTACTTAATTCTACCAATAAAAATGAAAAGTATATAAAACTAAATCTTCCTGAAGCTGACCTAATTTGACATGATTTTATTCACTGACCGCGAGCAATATAATCCCCAAATCCTAGGCAAATATTTTGACGCTAGAGCATTTCTCGACTTTCCCGCAATTCCAATTCAATTGTCGGCACTTTGGCTTGTTTTGCAAGCAGCCAAATTGCGCATACGCCGCATGGGCCTTGCTGCCGGGTCAATCGCAAATTACGCTTAAACGAAGCATGAAGTATTCCTTGAGCGCTTTCTCTTCGGGCAGCCTTTATTATGATGCTGTCAAAAGTCACTTTGGCTAAATATTTGTCAAGCACAGAGCCATACGAAAAGTTAAATACGCCACAACAGCAATGAAAGGGAAGGTCGAAAAAAAGGAAAAGTTGAAAGTCGTGATTTTTTTTGTACCATCTTGTTCGACCTAATAGGCCATGAGTTCGGGCCACACAATTACTTCCCGCTGAGTCTGCGGCTGCGTTTTGCCTCATTTAGTCGGACTGACACTGGCACATTTCAATTTGTGCGCTCCGGGCAAGCTGCGCCCCGATTTTCGCCACTGCGATGATAAAGTGTCATCCTGGTCACCGAAAAAAAAAAAATATATAAGTTAAAGTTCACACGGGCACACACAGAGAGCAAAAAAAAAAAAAAAGAAAAGCTGAAAACTCACAACTTTTGGGCAGCTGGAAGTGCGTGCCTCGCCTGGCGAACTAGTTTTGGATCAGGGATCCGGGGAGGCACCGACCTTTGGCTCTTTCTTATTTTCTTAATGAAAGTTTTGCCCAGGACTATGGTGATAAATCATCTGACAAGGACTCGCCTGTCGACGGGAAACTTTCAATTTAATTTAAATGCCAGAGTCTCAGCAAAAGAGGCGGCATGGAGAAAGGAAAGTGAATTACAGCAAATTAGGGAAAGAGTGCTCACAAAACAAATTATTATAATACCAAGGCTTACGCTCAGTTAAATGATGACAAAGATTTGGTTGGTAAAAAGGTTTTAAAGATTGCAATTTCCCCTAAACAAACGGGTATAGCAAACCCACTCAAAAGAACCAATTTCTCACCCAAGTAGGAGAAAGGCAAACGTTTCAAGAAATGTAGACGGCAAGGTAAACAATCTGAAAATGTATCAGCATTTCCGGAAAACTCCTTTTCGGCTCTTTTCCATTCAATGACGTTCAACAGGAAAAACAAACAAGCCAATCAACAAAAAAAATGGAAATTACCATGTGTTGATGTTAGAATCCACAAACAAAAGGGGAAACTTGGCCGCCGTTGAAAAAATAGGAAAACTAAGCAAAAACCAACAGAAAACGGCTGACAAAAACATACATTTTTTCGGCTCATTTACACAGACGCACGTTTCTGCATCATCATCATCATCCCGATGATCACTTTGGCCAGAGCCACACCCCCTTTATTATCTTTTAGGAAAGTTTTTAACAACACAAATACAAATACGGTCTGCGACGGCAAATAGGAACACAAAATTCAAATGCAAATTGGACGCATTTTTTCCACATGCAATGGGTGCTGGGAAATTGGCAACTTTTTAATATGTGTAAAATACTGAGTGCGAAACGTTTTTAAAGCCCATACATATTCATCATTGAACGGAGGCTTGTCCTTGGCTTTTTGTGTTTTACTGGGCCGCAATAAATAATTGTAGCACTTGGCCACACTTGAAAAATGCAATAAGCCAAAGGCCACACTTCGTTTTTGCGGCAATCAGTGATTTCTCTGAGGATTCCGAGAATGAATGGTTGAGCGGAACAAATGTTACAGCGCCCCAAGGTTGAAACAATAAGCTGATGGTGAAAACTTTAAGTCGACGTAATGAAAGCTCCACATTTTCCCTTTGAGCCACGTTCCGGTGTCATCCTGTTTCCGTTCCCTGTTAATTGCCATCTGATTAAAGTTAACTCGGCTTACAGCTCAAAGCTTTTCCGGCAACAAGTCACCCTGCTGGAGCTGAAGCTGAATCTTCCATGGGATCTGAATGTCATTGTCCATGTTGGTCACTGCGAAATTTTCTCTCTCTCTGTTTCGTTATTTTTTCCCTGAGTTTCCGTTCCACATAAATCTGCAGGTTTTATTTTTAATTACCAGTAAAACCGTTTCCATGTCGGTACAGTTTAAGGTTAAAACCCGAATAAATTTTAATAAAAGAGAAATGATAAAGACAAGAATATATATTTTTTGTGGGCCAACGGCTTTTAAGTTGCAATGGATCCCTGTGAATTATAATTGGAAACAGTTTAAGAAAATTTATTCGCATATGGAAAGAAATAAATCTTTTTGTTTTTAAATTTTTTTAATTTTTAAGCAGAAAAATTTTAAATGTTATGTAAGTTTCTTTGTAATTTTCAAGAAATGACTTTTTTAATGCTTTTTGGTTGCCACCCTCAACTTCAAACTTATTTTTTGATCATCATTGTTTTCCCACACCGTTTACTTCAACTGCCACAATTTACCAATTTTCGCACAAAACACTTTTCACAGCTCATTAAGGCTAACAAATTAAACGGGACAGCAGGAAAAACAGAAAGTATGAAGTCAGAAGTTTCGCCGTTTAAGGGAAAAACGAGGCACACAAACATCGCACATACGCCATGTGGTGCACTGCGCTCTGGCATCTTTGGTAATTGTAGCTAGGCAAGAAGATTCTTGCCGTGTTGCTACATGGCGAAATAACAAAATCATTGTGGAATTTAATTAAGTTGCCTGGTCGGAGCCGCAGTTGGTGTGAACAGAACAGAACGAGCCCATTAACACATTTTTCAAGTTTAATTCAACGTAATAACAAATTTCGCTAGGCGGTGGGTGGGTTGGTATTGGTGGTTGGGTGGAAGATCTGCGGCACTCAAGCAGCCATATAAATTACAGACAGACATGAGCGGCATACGAGGACTCGCAGGATGCGAAAGTGTTGCCATTAAGTCGCACACGTGTGCCCCAGAAGAAATGCGGAGAAACCCGGAGAGGAGAAAGCCAGGAGAAAGTCAGACGGTGCCAAGTGGCAAGTGCCAGCGGCAGCTGATGGCCCTTCAAGCATATTTCCTCAAGTGGCTTCTATTTCTCAGACCGCCACCCCCTAATTAAGACAGATGTAAAAACTACAACAAAAATGGTCCAGAAGCCCCAAAAAAAAAAAGACCGAACACATCTGCACAGAGAAGGAAGATTTAAAATTGTAAAGGAATATGATTTTACGAATTTATTGTTTTCGTAAATAAATAAAATAAATTCCACAAAAGGAACATAATAATTTATATATTTTTGAAACCATAAAAAACAGTTTCCTTGGTATAATATTAATTTAATAAAATTGTTTAAAAGTAGGTATTTAAATTCTCAAATTTCTCTCTCTGCACTTGTCAGGTCTTTTCCCCGAAAGTTGATAAAAAGACATTTTCACTTTAGTTCTTTTTGCGACCTGGATGTTGACACACGGCATTTATGTTTACCCTGACATTGTCACGTGTCTCATCTGCCGCATCCTGTGGCATCAACGGCTCACAAAAGTGAAACAGCAGATTCAGAGTAACAAAAACAAAGGAACGGAAAGGAAAGGAAAGGGAGAAGAGGAAGGGAAAATAGGGGAAAGAAAGGAAAGGAAAAGCCAGCAGCAAATGTCAATGTCTCGCTGAAGTGAATGGAATTCACCTCTCGAGGAGATGGGCGTGACCTTTTCACATTAATCTCCAGCATGATGGCATTTTAATGCAGGAAACTCAACTATAACTATATGGTTATTTATTGTGATGGGTCTGACAGATGGTGTTCCTGATAGGGGATATGGGATGTGGGGCTGAAACGGGAAACATAACGAACTGCGAAATGTTCTCGGAACATTCAATTATATCATCAATTAGTTTGATGTGCAACATGTTGCCAAGTGATTTGGACAGCAGATTGGGGAACAGCTCGAGTTCGCGTAGCAAAAGAAATGAGTTCCGATTGAAGAGGGTTATTCTTTACATCTCATCTAATGTAGATTGATCGCAGAACATTTATTTTAACATTTAATGTTGGGAAATTGCTAAGGAACATGTGACTAACTTAAATTATCAGTCAGTTTAACAATCTTAAAGTGGACTAGTCGCAAAATTAAATATATTTCCTGCTATCAATTAGCAAAACCGTTATTTGAGTAAACATTATTTATGTGATTACCCCATTTATATCCCCAAAAATCAATTTATCCCCATAAAAAATCAACCCAAGAATTCAAACCAATAAACTGGGCCAGACTGAAAAATGTTGCCTACTTAGCAGCGCAACGAGTTTTCTTCAGCGGAAAACCCACAAAGTGAAAGACGTCACAAGAGTCAAAGCCTAGCCACAAGGCAAATGCCAAATGGCATTATCAATAGTGGATTCAGCAAATCCCAAAAGATATAGAAAACCGGGTGTGTGAAGCTGACTGGGTGCAGTCACGAACATGCATTCGTAGCTTTGGCGATATGGCTATATATACATTTGTATATATGTACACATCCCTTTGTAGCGGGTTGTCCCATTTGTTCCACTGAACAAAAACTCATTTGTGAGTGTTTTTATGCGTTAAGGAATTTATTATAAAGGAGGAGCAGTTCCCCAGCAGATTTATTGCTTTATTACGATGTGGCAGAGCGATGGGTATCACGATGGGAATCCAGTTTGGCGACAAAGGCCAAACGAAAATAAAGAAATGGCTGGCAAATATTTAGCACATGAAGGCGAAAAACAGTCGGAAGAAGTGATGGTGAGAGGGGGAAGCGGCGGGAAGTCGAGCGGGAAAATGGCGAGAGAATGAATGCTGCATTTCCGTCTTTTTCGGCTTTTGTCTTTTTTTCTGCGTAAGGATTTTCCCCCAAACGGCGGAAAATTGTGGGTGGTCGGATGGGTTGGGCCTTGAGGGCATTCCACCATCGTCGACATCGTCATCAGCATCAGCATCAGCATCATTCTCATTGCAGTCGTTAAGTTATAGACTTTGATTTCGTTCGCTTCATTCAGCTGAGGGCCAACTTTTATCCCCGTCACCCAGAGTTGGCGCTCCTTTGCCGAGTCGTTTCCAAGATTTATTTGCCTTGTGCCCTGGCAGCGATTCTCGACATCCATATCCTTTCGCCGTCTCACTCTTAAATGGCTTTAATTGATTTCTGATTTTACGACCCTGCTGGACACATTTCACAGTTGATTACATGCCAAGTGGGAAACGATTTCTAGAGAGAATTTACATATTCTTAAGTAATTATAAGTACAATAATGGAAACAAAAAGAATAGATGTAAGCTATTCTTTAAATTTTGAGTAAATTACTTTTTTTACTTTTAACCATAAAATTTTCTTTATATAAACTAACCTTATTATAACCAAGAATATATTTTAAAAATATTTCCTTCTCTTTAGTGTCAATACAATTTTCCCTATCTTTGAACTTCATTTTTTCAGTCAGTTATATTTCTTCGCTTCTGAATAACTAGTCAAATTTTCTTATATTTTGTTAAAAAAAAATGTCAGATAACAAATTTTATGATTTTCAAGATCCTGAAAGTGCTGAGTCTTACGCAGAGTTAAGCCAAAACAGTACAGCTGTTGTGCCCTTGGATACATCCGAAGATGCCCATTTCTCTGAGCAGATGTTTTCCAGTATTCAGGAACGCTTAACCCGGATCATGAAACGCGTCCACATGGCCAATTCCGCCATGGCCCAAATGAAACGTAAACTGCAGACCCGTCTTCCATCATCGACGCAACTCGAAAATGCCGACAAGTTTGCTGGAGGCGATAATCCAATGAGATTTGATAATATCCAAGGCAGAGATGAAGACACCAACGAATGATTTTAGTTTATTGTTGAGTTTATCACTTCTAAATCTATATACGTTCTACCAAATGAAATAATTATGGGATCAAGTTAAGATATTTGAGCATAACGAATACGCTAATGAGTCGTCAATGTGTCACAATAACAAGTTTTGTTGAAATAAAATAACATATCTTTAACAAAAAACTAAGCAAGTGTGATACAATTTTTCAAAACTTTTAGGGGAACAATTCAGGAATAAATAATATGTTACCCAACCGATTTCTGAAAAAGATGTGTAATTTTTACTGCCGATCCCATAAAATAAACTCTTCCTAAACTTGAAAATAAACACAAAAAGAAAAACAAAATATTCCGCTCACATGCACCCATTTCGCCATAATTTGTGCCACTTTCCAACGCTATTTACAATTTATTTGGGGCTTTTCGCACACAATTGAAAAACGGACTTCCGCCCTGCCGACAAACTATGACTTTCTTTTTGGCGCACAATAAACTTTTCATTGGCCGCCCTTCAAAAATGTTACCCCGAGCAATTCCGAGCAGCTGCACTTTGTAAAGGGCCTTTTGTTTTCCCCCGAAAAACTTTGCCGGGACCCAAATGAAAGACAAAGTCGGAAAATTTGAGACTGAAATTTGCATTTGCCTTTCCCCATACACACACACACACTCCAACACACACACACATACACAAAGACGAATTGCCTTGGGGCCAAACAAATATGTTAAAAGCAATAAATAAGGAAGGACATTCTTCAAGTTCGTCGGCTGCCGCTCGACTTATTGGCAAAGAAAAAAATATATATATGCGAAGGGCTGTCAAAAAGCTGAAACTGAAACCGAGCGCAAAACTGGAGATGAAGTCAAACATAATTTGCCGTGAAATGCCATCGCAGCAGCGTTAAATTATATGAAATATTTTTATTGTTAACTTGCAAAAATGTCAAATGCATTTTGTCAGTTGGCAGCGGCAAATCTCGACGGCAGCAATTGTGCAGTGCGTTTATCACTCCGACTGTTGCAACAGCGACTGTGGCACATTGCAGCTGCTCCTCTTTGGATCCGCCGTTCCGAATCCTCCGGCTGTTTGTCATGGTCCGCAGCACGGGGAATGTAGTCCTTGCTCCTCGCATTTCCCACTGCTGCGAGTGGAATTTTGTCACAACTCCCAGCTTCATGCTTAAGTAAACTTTGTCCCAATGTTGTGACTACGCACTGTGTGTGATAACCGAGTTGACTGAGTGAACTCACTCGTCTGAATGAATGGCTGCCTGAGTGGGTAAAATGGTTGAAGAACAGCTCTCAAGTGCCAAGATAAATTCCTAACTTTTACGCTGGAATTCCATGGCTTACGTGTACAATAAATGTAGATATAAACTCCTTGCACTGATTATTTAATTGGTGGTTAAGATTTTTTTATTTATTTTAGTTTAGAATGATAAAGAAATTTTTATTTGAAGAACAACTTTTTGCCAGCTCAAAATAACAAATATTAAAATACTTAAACATTTTATAACACTTCCAATTTTGAAAGAGATCTTTCGGCAAACTTTTTAAAAAGCAATAACCTTTTAAAGATTTGAATAAAGAAGTGGACCAAATAGTAATTGAACTAAGCAAAGATTTCAGCTTTTAATTTCCGACTGCTGGCTTTGAAGTCCGTTTCAGGCGACACCCCTCCCTTTCCCCTCCAACTCAACCTCCCCCTAACATCATCGATTCATTAAAATTTCAATATGAGAGCTTCAAATGAAATTCAATTACAAAATGCCACAAAATCCGAAAAGCCATGAAAACCATGAAAATGTGCCTATAAATTCAGGCACACTCGTCACTCTTTTTCCTGATTTGGGTTGCCCACACAATTTAGAATATGAATCGTTTGGGGGAGACCCAAACGGAGAAAAGCCCCCCAAGTTCAATGTAACCTGTCACAGGCAGCAGACAAACTAATAACGTTTCGATAATCGCAGCTGGAAAAGTGGAATGCGGCGGGGGGAAAAGCGGGCATTCATGGTAAATCAATCCCGTTGAAATCGAAACCGAAATTGAAACCGAAACAGAGGCTGCCGCTGATGGGTTTCGACTGAGGAGTGTTCAGCGCCATTTGGGCAAGAGGTAGTCAGTCAACAGATATTTCAAGGCCTTCTCGATAATGGGGTCGGCGATACTGATGATAATGATGATGCTGATGACTAACTCGACTCAATGACTGTCCATCTATTGGCGAATCGAGCAGTGCTGACGATAGCTATTTTCAACAATAAAACATAGCAGCTAAAATGGGAATATTATGAGGACCATTAAAGTGATAATTTCAATTAGATTTTTACTACAGTTTTTGATATTTTTTTATATGTTCAATTCAACATCCACAGCAACATTAAAAAAAAACCATTTAAAATATAACTCATTTATTTAACAAAAATATTATTTAATGAGTGAAATTAATAAAATATGCAAGGCCTAAATAAAAACCAAATGGATTCCCATTGGCAATTTTTCTCCTGTTTTTCCGCTCGGTTGACAACGCTTTAATAAGAACTAAATCTGTCCTGAAACAGGATAAATGCCCAACACTAAGTTCGAGTATTTTTTTTGCGCTAGTCCTTTCCCGTTGGTAATCTGTGGAAATTAGCATTTCAATCAAATCTTCTTTTATGTGTCTGACTTGTTTTATGCCCCAACGACAGCAACAAAGGCCTCCTCATCACACTCATCGTCATCATCATTCGGCAAATGAAATTGTATCCATTCTGTTTATGCATTTGACGAGCCCCGAGAAGAAAAATTGTCGAAATTGATTGATTAAATATTTATTCATACGGAAGTGCTTAGCGTGTTGTTCCCATCGCCCATTTCATGGGACTTCTACATATTTATGAACTGTGGCCATCCGCAGACATTTTTTCCCTGTCTGTTGTCTACTTTCGGAGGCTTTTTCTCGGGTTGTGTCATTAATTCAGTTAACATGGAATCCCTTTTGGGCGTGCATCAGCTGTTGGCTAAAAGGAATAACTAAATAACTAAATTCTGAAGCAAACAACCTTTTACCGGATCCTTGTCAATTGGTAAATGATTAGGAGAATTTTAATGAACTTTAACTACTCAAGATTCATATTAAAAGAAAGCCTACCTTTCCTACTTTTATATTCTTTATTTGGCATAATAAACTGCCTTCCTTTTAAGACATACTTTCGCTTAAGTTAATCTACCAAATATTTGTTGTGCTGAAGACTTCACCCGCATCCACAATTAACTTGTGAATGAAATTTCCCCAGACACTGTCTGCAGATATCAAATCGCAAGAGGGCTCGTCTCATTAATTGGGTTAGTTCTCGGCACTTAAAGTCAATCAACTGGCCCGCAGGAAGACTTAATTAAGCAAACTTGTTTGGCAAATCTTTTCTAAATGGCCCTTCACAACGCAAACAAGTACGAGGTGGAGCTCTCGAGGTCGGAACAGACCGAAATCAGGGTTCATGTTGGTATTGAACAAATGCCTATTCCGGATACACTTAGCCGGAGTATGAGGTTGCCGGAAGCTAGGATCCAGCCTCCATTTGCGGTTAAGCGTGCCAAACAGTTTGGCGGTTCTGCACTATTCAGACTCTGATTTCGGCCAGCTATTTTTAGTTTCCCAGAGAGCACACTAAGTCGGCTTTTCGGGCAGCCAAGAGTCGTCCACAAATTGATAGTATTGGGGCAGGCTTAAAGCTCTTTTGCTGCACTCCGTATGCCGAATGGGGAATTTTGAATCCAGCTGCGAGTATGTTATTTTACGTTCTGAAGCCAGGTCGGTTGCCAGGGCCATTAAAGTGCTAATAAATTCTCAACTCATATCAATCGATGGCCATGCAGAGATGTAGGCCCATAAAGCGCTGCTTAATGGCGAATGTTTGCTCTGGCTCCATTGGGCACAAGCAGTATATAAATAACAAGTCAGCAGTATTAAGTCGGAGGCAACAAATATTAAAGAATTGCAGGCTTATTTATAAGCCAAATAGAAACAACTAAAGGAGCTGCAAAACAAGATTATATAGAGAAAACTTCCTGGAGTGCAAATAGTAAAACTTGAACATCTAATAACAAAAATAAATCTTTTGTTATTTATACAAAATAGGTAATAAATTATCAACAATCCCAAGATAAGATAAAATCAATTTTAAAAGTCCAATACGCTTTAATTAAGACAACAATCAATACACCTCAATTATTCAGCAGGAAACAAGTGAAACTCAAGAGGGTCATAATGTAGCAAAAGAAAACTGCGGAAAATGGTGCTCGTTAATTTGTGGACTGAATGCTTCGGAGAGTGATCAAAATAATGAACCAATTTTGTGTGTTGGCTTGATTAGAAGCCAGCCAAATTAAGTTGAATAATTCCGGGTTCAAGCTGCACCGTGCACTTCGCTCCTGCTTCATTTCCCCCAACTTTATCCATGCCTCTAGCCACTTTTGCATTTGGAGCGTCTCCTCACAAAGATTGACCGCAGCATTCACTCAATGAACACCTTTTGAACCGCATTCAGCTCCTTTTTACCCCTGCTGCCGCTATTCAATGGACCAAAACCCTGGGGTAATAAAGCACGAAAAAGAAACAAGAGTAATAATGAAAAAGTAAAGTTTGTTTTCCCCCTTGATATTACTTTAAATATGCAAAACTTCGCTGTTTTATGTCCTTGCAGCTGTCCAGTTGACCGGCAAGGGGTCCTTGTCCAGGCTACTTGTTCCTCTAACGAAGTGGCGGCGGTGATTCCCCTTCTCCTCCAAAGGTGGGGGCAAAAAAATAAAATAATGCTCACAAATATTACGTTATACAAACACAGAGCCAAGTTGAGGGGAACAAAAACAAAACAGCAAAAAAAACAAGAAGCGTTATGGAAAAGTTGCGTCTGGTCCTGGGCCACTTTTGCATTACATTATCTCAAGTTTTGCGCTGGCAATTTCTCATGTTTCCCCAACATATTCTCTCGCATGTCCGTATTTGTATTTACCCATTGTCGTCCTCATAAACATGCAACTGACTTTTTCCTGTCCTACCATCATCAGCATCATCATCATCATCATCATCATCTCCATCGTCGTGCTTAACGTCAGGGAAAACTTGTGTTGCGAGACGACACAAGAAAAAAACTGAGACTCTGATAAAAAACTTTGCCTCATTTTCATGTCAGGCCAAATGAGTTTTGAAAAAGTTCGTCCCGCCCAAAGTTCCGAGCGTCTCGGCTAATGGTGACAGTAATTTTTAATAAAAAGCTGCCAAGTGTCGACACAATTTGCAATTTGCACACGCTTCTAGACTTTGATGAAATAGTTTTCCAGGAATTTGCATTCCTAGTGAACGCACAATTTTCTTTTGTAATTATGCGAGCTCTTCAGCATTTGATGGGAAATTCTCTCCTGGCGATCCGAACAATCGATGACCCTTTGTGTGTGGGTCATGATGCCCTCAAGATCGCGCTTTAATTTAATGAATTTATAGCGCACATCCACGTAGGACTCGTCCAATTCTTGGGCACTTCGGGCGCCGTAAAGTTGGCTCAGCATATCGAGTTCGGAGTCAATGGTTTTCAAGGAGGAGGCGTCCCACTCCGTGGATTCCGTTCTGCACAGTGGACAATCCTCGCTGAAGGGTTCCATCAAAATGGTGTAGCGGCCTGGGGCATTGTACTTCTGGTTCATCGACCTCACAAGCCCCAGACACTTTTGCAGATCGTCCTCCATCGTTGAGCAAATGTCCAAGGCATTGTCGATTTTCACACACTCGGTTTGTATCATCATCGTTTGACTTCAATAGAATTTGATAATAATCTCAAATGAGGCGCAGTGGCAAATAATGCGGAGACTGCTTAAGGGAAGTTCTTAGAGTTATCAGTTACGATTCTATCTTATTATTTTCTAATTTAAAATTATTGTACAAAATTAAAAACTATGTTACACTTGTTATACCCTGCAGAGGGCATTATATTTTCAATGAGAAGCTTGACGTGCAGGTAAATTTTTAAGGAATTGCTTATAAAAAATGTTTCCCAATTAATCATCAAATATTATAAATTTGCAATGATTCCCATTAATCGAATTAATGAATTTTCGAAGCTCCAAAAGTAGGTACACAACATTTCCAGAATAAATGTAACAGTGGCAACGGTTTTTACATTCATTTTTAATAACGAAAAAATAATTTTTAAATCCACTTTATCGTTCAGATAAGTTTAGGATTCTTTGGCTTCACATTCTGAAAGCATAATTACAAAATTATCATATAGTGGTAAAAATAATAATAATTTTATATACCTTCTTCTCCAAGTCCTCGACACGGTCTATAAGATCATCCATCTTGTTAACAATGCTGCACTTCTTTTGGCATGTGAACATTTGATTTGCTTTAGTTTTTTGCTCTTCCATCTCATCTTTAACCTGCTTTATAACTTCATCGTTTCCTATAACTTTTTTTTTTGCTTTCTTCAGATTATTGCCAATTTCGTTGTTCAGTTGTTCTAGTTCTTCGAGATGGACCTTGCCAAAACTTGATTGCCCGTTTTTCAATCTTTTCAAATCACTTAACTGCCTGGAAACATCGTTTTTGAACTCATCAAAATCATTTTTTAGATTTTTAAATTCATCAGACAAGTTTTTTTGTTTATTGCTTCTCTTCTTGTTGTTTAAAAACTCATCTTGTTTTTCTTGTAGGATTTTCACTATTAACTTGGGTTTGTCTAACTTTTTCTTAAGATTCTCTACTTGCTCTTTTAAACCATCAATATATTTCGGTTGATGAGTATTTGCCACCTTATTGAGCGTTTCGTCCAATTTATCCTTAATTTCCTTAAACTTATTCGTGTTTAATTTAAGGAAATCACTGTAGGTTTGGTTTATATTTTTGAGCATAGTCTGTAACTGATCCGCTTCCTGGCTAAGTTCGTCAATTTTTTGATCACAATTGGGAGTCTTTTTCAGCCCTTTGCTTAGACCTTCCATAGTCCCCAGTAATGCTTCTAAGTTATTTTTCAATTTTTTGTTGGAGGAACATTTAACACACATTTCTATTTTTTCCTTTAACAACGATTTTAGCTGAATTTGAATACTTGTAAGCTTTTTACAATTTTCAAGACAGTTAGTAAGGGTTTTATTTAAATTTGTTGACGGTTCCGAAGTTTTTGACGCGACTAATACATTAAAAAGTTGTTCGACTTGCTTATGCAATTTTTCTAATTTCTTTTTCTCATTTAGTACCTGCTCGTTTCTTAATTTTAGTTTATCCGATCTATTTTCATTCATACAAATCCTATTGCACTTTTCAAGAGTGTTTTTGGTTTTATCACCACTACTTCTTATAGTTTTTTCAATTGAAGTTGTTAAATCATCATTATTCCGTTGATTATCTTTTATCTCTTTAAGCTGGTTGTTGAGCTTTTGAGCTTGGTCTTCTCTTTTCGATTCTTTTATCCTTATCTTATCGTCCATATCCTGAATTTTTTCCTTAAGTTCAGCACAACATAAGGTGATTTCCACACGGCCACCAGTTTGAGTTTTCAAAGTTTCCAATCGCGGTTTAAGGTCTTCTATTTGATTCTCCATTACCTTAAGTTTTTCCTGTAAGTCCGTTTTTTCTTTGAAGTTTTTTGACACCTCCCCTTTTACTATTTGTAAACGATCCTGAACTCTATCTTTCAATTCAACTTTAAGTTTCTGAATCAAGTCCTGCAAGTTTTTACAGCAAGCTTTAAATCTGCTGGCAACAATATTCTTGACCTTGGATAATATATTTTCCAGATCCTTTCCAAGTTCACCGGTTGGTTCTAATATTCCTGTGCTCTCGTCAATATAATTCACAAGTTCAATAATTACGTTTAGTGAATTTTTATCATATAAGCAACATTTCTTTAAAGAATTTCTTTCATTGAAGAAGTTTAATAGTAAACTCAAATTGGTTTGAAAATTGCTGAAACTCGAAATTTGACTCGTCTGCTTTTCCATCCAGCTGACTATTTCATTGTAGTCTTGGCACTGTTCGTTCTCCGTTGTTCGACTTATTTGATTAGAAAGACTTTCGTAGACACGTGTGTGATGAAAACCCACTGCCGTAAATGCAGATAGCAGTGGCAGTAGTGACGCAATCGATTTCTGTGCATGACATTCGCATTGTTGAATAAACACATCTTTGCCGTCCAATCGATGGAAACTTACCTTTGGTTTCATTTTAGTCACGTTTGCTGCGGTCCATGGACCTCTGTCGCCGGTTTGCCAAGTTCAACTAACTAGCAAAGAGAGAGATGTATACTATATAATAATACAGGTACCTCTGGTGAAGAGCGGTGGCCACCAATCGATTTGCATGCTGAATTTATTAAGCGTCGAGGGAAGTTGCATAATTTTCAACTCAGCGAAAATTTTAGTAAAAGACATGACTTAAAATTTTAATAAAAATTTTATTTTTCAAAGAATGCATTTATTATGCTAAACATTAATGTTTTAGTACAATACAAGAAAAATTCGAATGTAAAGAAAATACCTAATAAGTTAATTTTTTAAGTTCAAATTACATTTTCGAGAAAACACAAACTTTATAAGATTTTGTAAGGTCGATTAGTATAATAATCTACGCCACCTATTCTAACTTCAGAATTTGATTTCTTTTTAGGTTTTGACCTTGCTGTAGTATAATAATCTGGGGGAGCTAATATAACATCAGACTTAGTTGATTTCTTTTTAGGTTTTGGCCTTGCTGGATAAACAAGAGATGGGGTACCTAATATAACTTTAACTGGTTTCTTTTTAGGATTTGTCCTTGCTGTAGTATAATAATCTGGGGGACCTAATATAACATCAGATTTAGTTGTTTTCTTTTTAGGTTTTGGCCTTGGTTTGGGTTTCGGCTTTAAAGTAGGTTTTGGCTTTAAAGTAGGTTTGGGAGTGGATTTCGCTCTCCTCATTTTAACTAGTTCTTCCGCGCCATCGATTTCCTCAATAAGTCTGTCAATCTTGCTTGTCTCCTTGCACTTTGTTTTACATTGAACCATACGATTTGAGGGCGTGATTTGGTTTTCTATCTTATCTTTGATTTGTTGTTCTAATTTGTCATAGCGCATAAGTGCTTGCTTTAATTTATCCATATCCTGGCGAACAATTTCGTTTAGTTTTTCTAATTTATCTTCGCGATCCTTATAATCATTTGATGCTTCCTTTGGTCTTTTTTCTTTAAAGCGTTTTAGTTTTTCTATAACTTTTTGCCGGAAGTCGTCGTAATCGCTTTTAAGTTTTGCCAGTTCATCTGGTAAGTTTTTTGAATGTTTGCTTTTCTCAATTAGTTTAAAAAATTCTGCTTGTTTTTCTTTTAATATTTCCACATTTGTATTGGCTTTGTTAAATCTTTTTTCAAGATTCTCAAATTGTTGAGCTTCGTTATTTTTCATTTTGTCGATGTCGCCCAATTTCTTAAATTTTTCTTTCATGCCATCTTTTAGGTCTTTAAATTTACCTTCGCTATCATCAATGAGTTCTCTAAAGGCTTGGTTCATTTTGATCACCAAAGCTTTTAAGTTATTTGCTTTCTGGCTTAGTTCATCAATTCTCTGGCAACAATTTGGAAACTTTTTCAGTTCTGCACTTATACGTTCGCTTTCCAAAGTTACTAATTGGATTTTTCTATCTAGCTCTTTGCTTGAAGAACAGTTTTCAAAAACATCTGGCGATTCGTCACCACAATTTTCATTTTTCTGGTTTACTAATTCCCCAATCTGGATTTGAATTACCAATAGGTTTCCCGCATTTTCCTGGCAGTTGTGAAGTGAAGTGTTCAATTGTTTTGACTCTCCAAGACTTTCTAATTCGCCCAATTTTTTGGAAATATCTTCGACAAGGTTTTGTAGGTTTTCGACTTGCTTTTCTAGTAGTTGCTTGTCCTGTGAATTATCTTCATTTTTGCAATTTTTGTTGCACATTTCAATATTTGCTTTGATATTTTCACCACGATCTTCAATTGTTTTCTTAAGATTATTTGTAAGACTGTTTTGATTTCTTTGCTTGTCTTTTAGTTCCTTAAGTTGATTGTCTAACTCTTCTGCTTGGCTTTCTTCCTCCGTTTTTGTATTTTGTAACTTATTTTCCAAATCCAGAGTATGTCCTTTTAGTTCAGTACAACATTTAGTGTTATCATTAGCCAATTGTTTTTGCATTGTTTCCAATCGTAATTTTATGTCTTCTATTTGACTCTCCACTTCTGTAAGTTTCTTATGTAGATCGTCGTTCTTTCTGGAGTTTTCTGAAGCTACTTTCTTTAATTCTTCCGAGATATTCTGAATACTTTCCTCAAGTTCATCTTTAATTTTTTGAATTGAGTCCGTCAAGCTTTCACAACAGCTAATAAAGTCTTTTTTAACTTTTTTTTTAATTCGGGTAAAATCATTTTTAGATCCTTTTCAAGATCGCCGCTCGGCTTATAAAGCTGTAGTTGGGTTCTGCTTTCTTTACCGATTTCATTGACATTATCAAAAATTAACTGCATTGTGGTTTCCTCATCAAAAATGCATTCATTTGGTGTTTTTTTTCTGTTGAGTGCACTAAGTAGTAAGTTGAGATCTGTTTGAGCTTTTTCCATTTGAACATTTAGCTTTAGATGCTCGTTCATCCACTTGGAAATATCGTTGTAATCTTCGCACTTTTCGTTCTTTGGAGGTGGTTCTAATTGATTGGAAAGTCTTCCGAAGAAACGGTTGCTTTGTGACCCCACTATCGTAATTGCATATAGCAGTAGTACCAATGACGCAATTATTACCTGTGCATAACATTCAAATTACTAAATGAACACATCTTTGCTGTTCTATCCATTAAACTCACCATTGGTTTCATTTTTGTCACGTTTACTGCGGTCCACGAACCTCTGTTGTCAGTTTGCCAAGTTCAACTAAATGGCAAAAAGAGAGAACTTTGAGATGTCTTTGGCGGAAAACGGTGACCGCCAATCGATTTGCATGCTATGCTCATTTACTACAAGGGAAGTTTCTTAACTTTCGATTTAAATTCAAATGAACTAACAATCCCATCAGATAGAAAATTAAAACAAATTAATATGTCTTATTTATTATAAGACTATATTGACTTACCAAATAATTAAAATAAAATTAAAAATAAAATCCATTTTCAAGAAAAATGGATTTTATTTTTAATTTTATTTTAATTTTAATTATGTATATAAAAATTATAATATTTAAATGGTCTTAAAGTTTTTCAACTCCTTTTAAATTATAGCCATTTTTTATAAATTATTTTGTTATATAATTAATTCAACGAAGTCGTACATTAAAGTATGCCCAAAAATAAATCTTAAACGCTAGGCCACCTATACTCGTATATTTTGTCTCCCGCTGTCACCGAGCTCATTCCAACTTTTAAGAGCCCCAAATAAAAAAGCATAAATTTGAGGGAAACCCAATGCAATTCGCAATGCCCTGAGCAGCATTTACTCGTTATCATCGCACAGGTTGTGGCTACAGAGCCACTTGAAATGGATACCCAACAGGGAGTCGGAAAAGCGAACTCCCGGCCATCCAGAATCCGAGCCAACCCCACCGAGCTGCCAGCACCCACTTTTCCGACCCCGCGGGCGGGCGGGAAACCTGAAATGGAAAACAATTTCAGCTACGCAAACACGGCGGGAAGGCCAACGAAAAAAATATAAAGAAAGGGAAGCACAAAAATTAAATTGCTAAGCGGAAAAGTAGAAAAAATGAGAGGAGCCGAAACTGAAATCACAGCAAAAGTTGAACCGCAGAAATAAAGTGAAATATATATATATATATAGACATTTTTTGTGCTGTGCTCGGGATGCCTGGGGGATTTCGAATAATTTCAGCTCAAGGTGTTTGCCTAACCATCGAGTCAGGAGATTAGTTTAATTAGTCAACGTGGCGTATGCGTCATGCTGTGGCAAGCCACCAGGAAACGTGCCACATGCGACGGAAGGTGGCAGAACCGCCAAAAATGCAATCGAACTTTTCGCGTTTGACTTGTGGTAGTTGGGCGAGAAAAGTCAACGGCGAACCTTGCGGAAAATTTCGGAGACTTCGGAGGACTTCGAGGGTGAGAAGACAGATGCAATTGATAGGTGTTATGCCTCAAGGGAAAGTAGCAGCCAAGAACTTTTTAAGTAGTTGGCATAGTTGAGTCCAACGGCTTCGGGAAATTGGCAAGCGTCGCTCAAGTCTGTCGAGAGATAGAACAAAAAAAAGGGAAAAAGTTTAAAGCCATGATTATGATATCGAAATCATTTTTATTCATTACCAAAACAATCTCTACGTTTTATTATATTAAAATAGGAATTGGGATGAGCGCTCAATTTGAATTTTCCCCTTCTTTGTTGTACTTTCTTATTAACTTTGTTCAACGCCATTAAAGCTGTCAAATGGTTTACGCAATCAATTTTTATTATAGTGAATGGAAGACGAAGAACACGATTTTTTTCTACGAAAATGTTAATTTATTTTCTTTTTTTCGCTTTATTTTCAGGTGAGTCCAAGCTGGAAAAAACAACATTCTTAAAACAGATTAAAAGGTATTTTATTTTTATTAAGAAAATATTCTTTTATTGTATATAATGGATTACCTTTTACTGAACATTTGCTTTTAACTTTATCTATCATAGAAAGATTTATTATTTATTGATTTTGTTTTAAATCAACTTACTATAAACTGTCTTCATTCCTATTGACCCAACACAATATCCTTTTCAGTGACCTTTAACATTCTCAGCTCTCAGCATTTGTCATCAATTATGCTGAAAATTCTAAAAAAAGGTTGCCTTCATTGAATTACTACATAAAATTCAACAGAATATGTGTCGCTGAATGGAAACCTTACCGAAATTTGATAAGCAAGCACAGACAGAGAAATAAGGAGACCCTTTCCATTCAAACCCGCAATAAATCACCTTTCGACCGCACATCAATTTCCAAAAGTTTAGAGGAAAGGCAATGGGGAAGTTCGAGAGTGCCAAAACCTTAGTTAACGGCTATATTCCTGCCAATCCATCAACCCGCCTTCAATTATTTATTTTTGATTTTTACCCTAAATTTCTTAAACATTAATATTGTAAAGCATATGGGCATATGATTTAAGCCATGAAGATTAAATATTAGATTTAAAAGCTTTTCGGATCTTAGGTTGAATTCTTCTGCAAAGATTATGCTAGAACTGCATAACTACACATCTCTTGATCCAGACTATCAAAAAAGTTGTATTTTCTGATATGTGCATGCATGAATTCGAAGCCAAAAAAAACCGAAAATTGGCAAAGCTTTTTCTTTTGCGATAAGAGCTCTGTATTTGTGTGACCGTGAGCGTGTATTGGTGTGAGTGTCTGCACTCATGCATAGACATAAGCCGATAAAACCCTGACAATTGTGTCATGGAGTAGCGTTTTAGTTTTGGGATTGAACTTAATGCCTCTTGACTTCAATTTGCATAGTCGGCTTAGCAACGTTAGTGCAATGATTGAGTGGCAAATTGATAGAATTCGGCATTTATCAGCTGACAGCTGAGAAAAAAACTTTTCCGCAGCAAGGAAACGGAAGGAAAATTAAAGTGATTTTGTTGGAAATTTCAGTTCAAATTCTGTTTGTGCTCGATTTAATTATTAAAGTAGTTGAATATGATTTAGGTTTTGTAAAGAGAAACCTAACGAGGCGTTATCTTAAGTGAATACAGCTTTTACCGACTCTTGCAAAATTAATATTGTTGTAGGCATGATGTTGGCTTTTAAATTGGTCACCTGGCCAAATACTATTTTAGTTTAAATGTGAAGGTAACAAAAAAACCTTTGAAGTGTTAACTCCGAAGGACTTTATTTTGATAATCATATTTTTCTGAGATTTTCCATTCCGATAAACGTTTTAATTTCTCACAGAAAGTTATCTCCAAAGTTTACCTTTTTAATGCTAACAATGCAAAAGTTTGACACTCAAAGAAAGCCCTCATCAAACTGACTTTGACCTAGACCGCAAGTTGTTCGAGACCCGCAGGATGGCCAATTAATCCAATTAGGACAAAACGTATTTGCTTCTCATTAAAAATGAAGTCCTTTGCTCTTGGCCGGAATCAAGAGCTTTGACCAATTACCAAGCATTTTTTCGCTCGCTTTTGCACATTTAAAAATTAAACAGAACGGATGAAGATTAAGGGATTGGCAGAGCGGCTTAGGAATCCCTTTGCCGGCAACTCAAATGAAAATTAAGCCATCTGCCTTCATTTAGCTTAAGTGCTTATCCTGCGAGGGGACGCAGGCGAAGGACACGTTTGCCCACAGGACAATCAATTATGAATGCAACGCTGAGCAGCAAAATAATCTGCCATAAAAGTTAAGTTCACGTGGGGGCGCGAAGCACTTTAACGGATAATGATGATAATGATATGATTTTAGTGACATTGATTTGTCGCCTCTAGGATGGGATGGCAAATTGTCATAATATTTAGTTCATTAGCCAACTAATCGGCTTACCCAGATAATTATTATAATTGATGTCAATCATCTAATTGTAGTTGTCCTCCCAAGCAGGCATTGAATTTCCTCTTTATGCTCTCCTTTCATTTGTCAACATAATTTATTTGTATAGTAACCATCTGAAATCCAATCAGACATAAATATTCTCGTAAAATTATCTGAAATAAAATCTGTATATTTTTTTACATTTAAAATGAACATGGGTATGAGTGTTTCTGTACGCACAATGTTTCTGAATTGTCTACGGGAAAATGCTGCCAATATGCGTCGCGAACATGTGGATCTTGGTAATCGCATCGCCATTGCCCTGGAGAAATCGCGAGCCAGTCTGGTTAGCATCGAAATGATGAATCTAGAGCTTAGGAGAATGAAGGAATCTGTCCATAATGTCATAACCAACATGCGTGGAAACAGTGATATGGAGGAAAAAAGAGCATGCCGAAGACTTCTCATAACTTTATTTACAGCAGTTGCTGATTCCGATTTGGATGTCGAATTAGATTTCAAAACTGTCTCACAGAAATATTCAGAGGGCGATTTGCAAATTGATGAGGTTGTTCCGCCAGCTCTTCAGCCAGTTGATGAATCCAATAACGAGGTTATTGTTGAGAGCGTATCTTCTCAAAAAAGTGTTGAGGTGGCTGAGCCAATAAAAGTTACACCATTAGATGCTTTGGAGAATAATCAAAAATTATCAGAGACTGTTTTCAATACCATCTCCCACATTGATTTAAAGTAAGCCGTTGGTCAAAGCCAAAAATGTTTTATATTTTTTAGCAGTTCAATTAAATTTTTGGTGGAGTGTATAACAATTTTAACTCGTTATTGATTATGCAGAATAAATATTTTTTCACCTGATTTTAAGCAAAAATAAAAAATATCTTACTTTTTATCGAGTTACTTTTCCGCTATCTCTAGTGCTATGTTTAATATTTAATAATAATGACAAGCCCTTCAGTTCCCAAGCCTTTGAACCTAAGAACCCCAGACTGACCATAAAAATACAGAGTTATGGCCAAACTTTGCACTCAGAGGAACTCGCTCCCTCTGACACAAATCGTCTGTCCGCAAAGCCAAGGCTGAATTACGTATACGCACTGTGAAATGCCGCAGCCAGGGGCAAAGACAAAACCAACTGGCAATCCAAGTCCTGTAGAGGACACAGCAACTATGTTCCAAAAACAAATTGTCGGCGATTTGTCGGCAAGCTTGAGCCACATTACACATACGCACCGAGTGAGCCATATTGCACATACGCCCCGTGTGACCCACAGAGGAAAAGCGCAAATTACGAGGTTAAATGACCAGCTGAACAACCTGTTGAGTTCACTCTCTTCTCTTTCACTCAACCGGAGCCACTCAACGCGCTCTTTGTTTTGCTCCGCTCTTTCGCCGGCAAGCAGCCATTTCCACTCGTTCCACTGCTTTTTCGGACTCACTCCGAGTGCGTTTTGGCCGTCGTCGATTCTCCAGCTGCGGTTGAGTTCAGTTCAGTTCAGTTCAGTTGCCGCTTGTCAGTCGCCACGTGCGGTTCGGTTACGATTTCGGTTACGGTTTTGGCAGCGAATCCGGGTGGCCAGAAAGTGTGCGTCGCGCTAAAAATCCAGTTTACGTCGCCTTTCTAGAGTGGGAGTAAACGTAAGTGAAGTTCGCGTGCCTAAAGTCAGTTTGGATGGGGAGATAAAGACACAATTCGATACAGAGGCAGTGCGACGAAATACATTTTAATGGAGCCTAAATTTGAATGAATTTTTTTTATTGCCTTTGGTATTTTCGTGATATAAATTTAATAGCTATCAAAAAAAAATAATAAATATAATATTAACAATACAAAACATTTTTCAAGAACGGTTTTACAAAGAAAAATAATATGTATCATTTTTGCATTTTAGTTATTGATTTTTCCAGTTTTTTCATATCTCAAAAATATGTAAATATTCTCAAGTGTTAAAAAGATAAATTGCTTTATTCGTCTTTGATATTTTGAAAGTATATTTTTCAAATTCATGAATATGGTGCATCTCCATAACTATCTATCTCCCCATCTGAATTTTCTAATGTTCTATTTTCGCCTATTCGGTTTCTATTCAAATTAACTAGTTTTGCAATTCTCATTTTGACTTCTGACATCGTCAGTAATCAAATTTTGCCATTCATTTACAAGTTGTTATAATTCCGGTGCCGTTCGCAACCGGAAACGTGCTCGCCGCCGTTTTGTCTACGCCACAAAATAGGAAAAGCCAACTGAAGAAAAATGAAAACATAAAAAGAAACAAAGCCGAAAGTAAAATAAACTTTGGCAGCGAAATATTTCTTCGGCGTTCTTGTTGCAGTATTTCTTGTTTATGAAAACGCAAAAAAAAAAAAAAAAAAAAAACAAAGCAAGACCTAAAGAAGAAAATATATGCATGTGAAGACATTTTGTCCGCAGTGTTATGAAGTGGTTAGAATCTTGGCTTGCACTTGTCTAAACAAAATATATATGCTGTGCATTTATGAAAATAATGTGTGCAGCATCCTTGGCTGGCTGCCGAAATGACAAAATGATGCATTAAACTAATTGGAAAAACTTTGGGTGTTTTCTATGGCTGCTCGACGAAGCTGAAGAAAAGCTGCGAGATGTGATCAAAGGAGTGTGTGATGTGGAAGAATTTACGGAGGAGAAGTGATTGAATTTTGAGGCCAAATAAAAGGAAATAAAATAACATAAAAACTATAATGCATGAGCCTCATAAATTACCATAACATAATTAAAATTATACACTATAAAATCGCAAATTGAATCTTTCCGGAAAGGTCTGCTTATGTAAACTAAAAAAAACTGACAGCATCGGAAACAAATTAAATGGTAACAAATGAGATAAGTGAATAAATAAATGCAAACTTTACCCAACTGTCAATAAACTTTAAAGACCACGAAATAATGGAAAATAATTTATGTCTGCAAATAAATACATAATTGTAAACTGAATTTAATGGGCAAGCCACTTGTTCTCAAGCAATTTAATAGATAATTGCCCATGGTAATTTGACACTAACCTTGGTCAAAGTTTTCACTTGTTTACACAAGAGTGTCAAAGTCGGCCAGACAAGTAAACAAGTAAACGAGAACAAATATTTAAACAGAAATTGTAGCAATCAACAAGCAAAGCTTGAAAAAGACCCGAGAAGTTCGTGAGAAAATTTAACTGTATTATTTAAATAAAAAAGGTCAAGAGACTCAAGTGAGTAATGTAAATAACGCTGGTTGGGTGAAAATTAAGAGCAGAGATAAGGCACTTGATAATGTTGTCTGGATTGGGCCGAGAGTTATTTTAAGGGGTATATAAACTGAGTGCAGGGCGATTCCCCAATGTTCGTTCACATAATTGAAAAATAGATTTCTCTACACTCGGCTGAGAATTTGTGAATGCTTTCAGCGTATTTATGTGCGAACGGGGGAGCATCGGCCAGCTGTCCAAGAAATCTAGGCCGTTTTAATTGCTCCACGTTCTCTATACATATATGTCCCGACTATATTTAGATTTCCTCGTTATATGCAAACAACTTAGCGTATGAGTAATGTTCCAAAACCTGATTAATGAAAGCTAACTGTTTTGCTTGTGCGGTTTTCTATTAATGGGAAGTTTGATTTAATGTGCACTTTTTGCCCTCCACTCAATTATATGACGTTTTTTCGTCACATTGTTGATAAAGAAAAAAATCCCATAAGAATAAACAAATACGACTAGAATTCCCCGCTCAGCCAGAAACTCATAAAAATGCAAAAAATAAGAGGAGTGAGAACAAATATAAATACGAATATAAAAAATATATATACGTAAGCTCTCTTTGAAGCTTATCAAAACAAAAGTCGAAAAAGCTGCAGATTTGTTGTCATACGCAACATCAAATCTTTTCAGAGGTTCTTGTTTTTGTTATTGGATAATTTTCCTTAACGTTGAACCTTCTTTGTTCGAAACTAATTTGATAAAAAATTATTTAAAGCCATAAAACTGATTTAAAGTCAATTACTTTATACAATGCATTTGAACGATACTTACTATAAAAGCGCGATGGAAATTTAGTGCACTTATATTATTTCCATTAAACATATAATGGAACGTGTGTAATTAGACTGAACTTAATTATAGATATTAAAAAAAATTATTTTCACTGTTTAATGAAGTCATGAGTGACAGCAGCTATTCAACTTGTATTTTCAAAGAAAGGCAACAATTTTAAATAATCGGCTTTAAATAATAATTACAATTATTTAATATAGTTATGAATATGCTGATATTTTCATTTATTATTCATGAGGCACGACAAATAAATATTGTCCATTATAGTAATTATTTCTGTTAATACAATTTGAATAATTTTGATTTGAACACTTTAGGCAATTATTTAAAAATTTATCATCGCACGGAAAATTGAATTAAGCCTAATTAACTGCGAAAGCTAATTTCTTCATTGAAAGAAATTATGTCAATATAAAGGTGGTATTTTATATGCAATTAATCATATTTCAACCATTACAAGACTTAATGACCTGCCGTCAGTATGTAATGTTAAAAATTATAAAAAGGGAAACCAACTATAAATTTAATGAAAATTAATTGATATATTTTAATGAGATGAACGGGAAAGCCAACTCTCGACACAAAAGTGACAGAACAAGCCGGAAAAGCGAGCGGAAAATGTAGAAAAAATTTATGAAAATAATTAAGCCGCCAGCAGCTAAAACAACAGCAGGGGCTTGACAAAAACTTAACAACTTTATGCTGCCGGTCCGCCCGGCTGGTCGTCTGTAAGCTTAATTAACACTAGGATTGCGGTTGGAAAGGAGATTTCCGTGGGCGAAATGGCGAGCTGCCGGCGCTAAATGTCAACAATAAGCTCGAGTGCGACTGTTGCACTTTCCCCCGCTTTTCCGGACATTTCCATTTACCATACCACCCATTCCGCAAACTATTTTGCCGCCCTCTGTTTTATGAATTTTAAGCAGCTTTCGCCTGCAGATTCTGTGGCAACAAATCTTCAGTGATAGCCACGGAAATCGTTTAAATTGTGCAACCAAAATAAACGGATGGCGCGTTGAATTTATGCAAAAATGTAAAAAGTTTTGCCAAAGGGCCGCTCGCAACACTCTGTCCTTTGCAACTTGTTGTTTTTGTTTTATTTTTTTTCCAACTTCAGCCACGAGCTTCATTGCGCATTCAAGTGGCCCCGTTTGGCAAATGAAAATGAAAATAAAACCGAAAACTTGGACACACCGTCCATGCCCAATTGAGTTCGTTTCGGTTTGGTTTCGGGCTTGGGATATTGCCCCCGTTTTAATATATATTTGGTTTTTTTTCGACCAGTCCCTTGATGATTTGACAAAAGTACTGCATTGGTTTTTTTTGAGGCTCGAATGTCTGGTGGTTGGCATAGTTTTCATCACCTCCGCACAAATTTCATAGCCTAATTTGAGGCGTCGATATTGCGTATGCATCGCGTGTTACGAGCGTGAAATAAAAACACGCCAAGCGCGACCCATTAAAAGTCAAATAAACAAGTCAAAGACACAGTGGCACATTGACAGGCAGGACCTAAAAGGTCCTGTGGTGTCCTTCCTTAGACGAAACCACATAAAAAGAAATTAAATCAATGGCAAACAGAAGAACTGAGGTTACCCTAAAATTAAACTGTGATCAAACTTCGTGTTTGGAAAAAATAATAGGCTAAAGTATTAAAGAATTAAGTTAATTTACATAAAAAAGGCATTCAAAACATCTCTCAAAAGTCTTAAAAGCTAGGATAATATTATTTTTTGTAAAAATGTGGA